AATAACATTATAACCATTAACAGTCAGTAGGATTTTGTCCATTGATGGTTGGTAAGAGACTGCCACGATCCCAGACACATAAGGTATCTATTGGTTTCCTTGCGTAATACGAAATCCTTATCGAGAAAACTGAATGAGAATGTGTAACGCCGGTATTCGAGAGATAACGAGAAATAAAAAAAATGACGATAAAATATATTAATAAAATTAAGAATGATATACAATGCCTTTTGGAGCCGATAACAAATGCATGCATGCAGTTGGATCGCTTTTGACAACAGTTACAAGTTGAGCTATAGACTTCTTGGCAAAAAAAAGACCATTTTGATCGTTTATTAAATAAAAGCTCAAGTTTTCATCGTCACAGAAATGAACATTCGATTTTAAAATTCATGTGCTAATCTTTGTTAAAAGCTGCTTCAACAGAAGTCAAATTATCTGATAATATCCGAGGATATTTCACTGAGCCTGCGCCACCATGCTTTTTGCAACCTTATCGCTGAAAGAAACTACGTAAATCCTATTGGGAACAGGCATTGTTTACTAGTATATATATAAAGAAGTCATTTTAGTTTAAGGGTCTTGACTTTACTTTCTTGTGACTGGCAACCACTGATTTAACAGATGTAGATTTTGCCCACTATATATATATATATATATATATTATAGACAAGAGTGTGAGAAATGCCGACCCAGTGTTTACTGACAACAACGGTTAGCTTTTTATAGTAAAAAGAATGCCCCTTTTATGTTTATTGACTGATTACACAGGAACGATGAAAACTTCCTGTGGGCCATTAGTGTGGGTTGGTGGTATTTGCTCGTGCGTTACCTTGATTTTCTGGACACGTTCTTCTTCATTCTGCGAAAGAAATTCACGCATGTCTCGCGACTGCATGTCATCCACCATACGATCGTCGCATTCAACGGCTCATTTTGGTATCTCTACGCGCCGGAGGGCCAGGTACAAATAAGTTTCAAACAATGTTTTGCTGAAGTAGTACTGTGATATAGTAACATATGGAATCTTGCAGTTAGTTCTAATTATAATAAGGGCAAATATTTACTTTGGTCATAAACTTTCAGCCGGCTGCGGGTCTTTTCGTCAATGCCTTCATCCACGTGCTCATGTATGGCTATTACTTCCTAGCGACGTTCCCGGCGATGAGGCCTTACCTCTGGTGGAAAAAGCATCTCACGATGCTCCAGATTGGCCAGTTCATCTTCTTTATAGCACACATGTCGATTCCACTGTTCTACGACTGCGAATTCCCGCACTACCTGGTTCACTTTGCCATTGCTCAAACCATTCTCATTCTGAGCTTATTCATTAACTTCTACATAAAAGCTTATGTCACGCAGGAGCAGAACAATAAGCGGCATCCACGAGTCAAGCTTGATGTTAATGGCAACGTGTACGAATTAGATAATCAAGTCTGCTCCGAAAAGATGGAGTAGAGTCGAAGAAGGAGATCCTATTTAAGATGAATCGTATATGTAGATAGGCAGACGACGAAAGATACCCCCTGTTGGCAAGTTTCTTGAGAGCTACATCTGGCATTCAGACACGTTCCAGGACGTGCTTACAGCTTTAGTGACGAAAGGCCAAATAATAAAGCAACATGTTTTGCGTCGTAGTACATTGCAAAAAGCTAAGGCTTCAACAGTGCAGTGGAGCCCTGATCATGGCAATAACAAGTGTATGTCATTTTGTACGTTTGTAGCACAAGAGAACGGAACGGAAAAGGCCAAACAAGACGTTAGGCGCCGTTTGTCGACTAGAATGAAGTACGACCAATGGTGTATCGTATGCGCAAAGAGAGCTAACTATTTCCGAACTGTTTATATCTCTTGATCTAGAAGTAGATCCAAGAAGGGAAGGTACGAGCGGACGGCGCAAAATTTGACGTGCGACTTACGAGTGGCAATTGCTTGAGCTGCAGAGCGCTAGAAGATATAACAAATTATATGAAAATGGTATATATTGGAATTGGCTATATTGTTTTTATAATAAAGGACTATAGTAATTAAAGTTATACGTGGTTGATGTCTTGTTTTCGAGAATATGGGATGCAGGCTCGGTTTTCGAAATTAATCCTATTGTTTTCTCAGTTTGATTCAATTCAGTTCGTTGGATTTTTTCCAATCATATTTGAAAGCTATTAGGTTTTTTTCAACTTTTCAACAATTTTATAAAATGCCAACCGATGCATAGTTGAGCAAAGTAACTAGTCAGTAATTCTGTCACGGTAAAAAGATCGTTTTTCTAATATAGAAGATTCCTCCTGGCATAGCGTGAGAATGTTTGAAATGCAGTAGCTACCGTGGTTCCCTTGACTAACATCAAAACATTCTGTACTAGGCTTAAAAGTAGTACTTTGTGGCCTTACTACGAATGTACCACACAGTGTCATCTGCTCTTTATTGCAAAAATCTGCATATGTCCTGCTATTTCAACAAATGGAAGATGAGTACCCTTCAACTGTTAGGAGACTTGTATTTTTCGACCCTAGCATATGTAAGGATGCTTTCTCTCCTTTAAGGCGCATCTTACTCCACCCATGTTTATCTGTTTGCTTCTATTTGGTATTCGAAATCTATCTCTTTTCTATAAATCTGTTGAAATTTCACTATGCAATAAAAGGTGTTTTGCATTGAGTTCAAACACCAACGGTAAATGTTTCTGGTGAAAAAAATATACATCTAACATCAACGTTATTTTGCCATTTGTTAAGGTCAAGCAACAGTTGCGCCATCCTTTAATACTGTGCTGTCTGCATAGGTAACTCGATGCAAAGTTCGAGTATCTTGTAGCTAAAGAAGGTACTCTGACTCAGTTAGCCATCCGAAGTCGATAAAGACCGCTTAAAAGCAATCCTGAAGGAAGACAGCCGGCAAAACGCGTGAATTAGCCGCGAAAATAAGTTGAGCTCAGATGATTATCGACAAGCATTTTGAATACACATAATTAACTTTATCTATATATATATATATATATACATATATACATAGCTTATAATTTTAGCATAAGCGTCTTATGTATTCGGTAAATAGCGTCTAAGAGCTTCACATTGCCTCATCTCGTCCCGCCCTGAATAACACACAGCCGCAATGACAGCCATCCGTATAGAATTATTAAGGGTGAAAAGAAGTGATGGCTCTACGTCTATAATATATGAGATAGGTCGTATTTCATTATCGACTTAAATACCTATTATATAAACCACTTCTAACGCAGCCAACACAGAAGCTTAGGAAAACGCGCTTAAATTCTGCATGCGTTTCAACGGGTGTCTCATTAATTTCTTGAAATTTTGTTGTCCCATTTAGCTCCACTATATACTAATACACACATCTGCATTAGTTACCCGAGAAAACCGCAAATCTTTTGTAGGTGGATGGGTGTCACAATTTAGCGCGAGAATATTCGCTGCCTTTGATGTTGGCCATCGAACAGCTGACTCTGATAGCGGTTGCCTGTTTATATATACATCTATATATAGTTGCTGAAGCTAATATTTTCATAAGAATTTTTGTGTTTTACAACATTCGTTACTAGGAAAAATGCTGTGCACCCTCTGTAGACCTCTACGAGACATTGTTTATAATTTAAATCCAAATTTAAATCAGCAAAGCTCCAGGAAGGTAGCGCCAATCAAATTTTGCCAACTAATTATATATGGATTGGCATTCGTAGCACCAATAATGTCGTGTAGAGAATCATTTTCATACACTTTCGGTACATGTAGATGTATATGTCGATGGAGAACACGTATAAATTAGGGAAGATACTTTTTATCTTTTGATATACACTCCAAGACCAACTGGCCATTGCTGCGTTATCTACTTGTTGGCCGTTCTGCTCACAACAGTTTCAGTGTACGGGCAAGGAAACAGCCATGAAAAGCACACTTACGTTGGTAGGCAAGTGACACAAAAACGTTCTAATTAGCGTTCGTTTAGATGGAGCACCCATTTGACTTTAATCTGTAGTTGGAACTGTGTTGAACAACATGTGGAAATACTGTCTTGAAAAGTAGGCCGTGTCGAGATCAGCGACTATCAACCAATACATTGCCTACGGTACCTTGGCTCTTCCTTTGTATAACGCCCGTAAGAAATATAATTTCCTATAAAGGAAAAGCTAGTTCTTACCAGCGACTTATCTGCTACTAGAAAAAAAATTAAACGCAACTTAAAAACAAGTTCAATTATTTGTATTTATGTATTTTCAAGAGGTACATTGTTCAGGCTTCTGTGGACAAAAAGACTCTCTAGAAAGATTCTGGACCTACGCTTATAATCAAGAAGCGTTTCAGTGCTCCCTGGTGGTAGAGAGATTAAGCGTCGAAGTGAAATACTGAGTAACTTTTTAATTAATGCTCGTATGTTATGCTTTCAAATCTTCAGCTCTTTAAAGCGTAAGCTTTTTTTTTTTGAAGTCTGACCAGTAAAAAGCATTTAACTTATCCCCATTCTATTGGCTCGGTTGCACAGTTTGTTTGAATTATGAAAGTGGCGCGCTTTCATAGTACTCTTTCCACATCGGCAATTTCTCTCCTGTTGGTATAAAACGACACCATACCAAACGCAGGAAGTTGACATCTACCCCCGTGACATAGTAAGTTTGTTCGATTTTCTACTTTTTATCATAAATCCTTATCACTGCATGTATACGTAGTAGTTAACTCTCTGATATACACAGTTTCAACAGATTTTTTCCGTACGACCGATGAGGCAACGTACGACTAAGCAACCGTTAACAATGTCAGTTGCCACTTGATTTTTGTAAACAGAGAAGTGCAGTCAGCCATTCAACGACCAGCAGCGGCCGCTGCCTAGTCACAACACAAGTGCCGCCACTCAAACAAACAGAGAAAAAAATCGATTGTTTCCACCGAATTTGACTTGTTCGGCCAGTCGCCGCGTCTCCGCCTGGCGCATGGTTCAGTCTTGTTCACTTCGAAAAAATATTCTATTTGAGCCTAGTACAGGTACGCGTGCGGGATTTGTGCTCCCTGTGCGGTTAATCTGTCCGCTTCTGTTGTTGTCGTCATTGCTTTTGAGCGCGCAGGGCTAATTGCGTTTTCGGGTCAGACGATGGCTCCGAAGAAGCAAGCGGTCGTTTTGCCGACCGATAACCTAGTTAACGATGGTGCTAAGGTGGTTTGGAGGATTGGCAAATGTATTGGCAAAGGAGGTTTTGGTGAGGTGTATCTATGTGAGCAGAACAGTGGCAAAGCAGTGAGCGTCTCAGCGCCGTATGTGATAAAAATTGAACCTTCAGGAAGTGGACCCCTCTTCGTCGAAATGCACTGCTACATGCGAGTCGCGGGCAAAGACCAAATTGCGGCCTGGGTATCTCAGAAGAAGCTGGATTACCTTGGCATGCCCATCATGCACTCGAAAGGCACGTACGAAGTTAATGGCGTTACTTATCGTTACATTGTACTTGATAGGTATGCTGGTGATATGGAAGGAATCTGGAAGCAAAACAACGGAGTGATGCCAGTGAAAACTGCATTAACAACGGCCATTCGTGTTCTGGACGTGCTAGAGTATTTACATGCCAACAGTTATATTCACGCAGATGTAAAGGCGTCTAATATTATGCTGGGGCTCAAGGACCCCAATAAGGTGTTTCTACTGGATTTTGGTCTGGCTTGCAAGTTCGAGAGTAAAGAGGGTGATCACAAAGCTGAAAAACAGGACAAGAAAAAGATGCATAATGGGACCATTGAGTACACATCGAGAGATGCGCACAAAGGATTGGATACACGACGTACAGATATAGAAATTTTGGGTTTTAATCTTTTGCATTGGCTTACAGGGAGATTGCCCTGGCTCAAACTCATTAAGGACTGCAAAGCTGTCGCAGCGGCTAAGGAGGATCACATGGCCGATGTCAAAGCATTGGTAGTCAGCTGTTTTGGAGCGCCCAATAAGACCATGATTGACTTCATGACAGTAGTGGCAAATATGGGATTTGCCGATAAACCGGACTATGATAAATTGCGCAGCATCCTTAAAGATGGTGTAACTGCGGAAGGACTGAAATATGATGGAAAAATTAGTGCTAGTTCTGATAAAACCGCCGTCAAAAAGGGGCGTACGCGAACTTCGGCCGAAATTGATTCATTAGAAGACCGGGTAGCAAACTCGCCGGTGCGGAAAGCGCGCGCGATTTCTAAATCACCGGCTCTAAAGCCAGCAATACGTGGCCATGGCAAGTCTCCCGTTTGCAGTGCGCCCGCAGCTGCTAAGTCACCCGTCCGTAAGACAAGTAGGGATATATCCCCAGCTCGAAAGGCAGCCGTTGCCAAGTCTAGTACCGCCCGTAGGGCCGGCAACGTTAAGAAAAAGGCGGTAAGCACTACAACTTTCCTCAGTCCCGACTCGGCGTCATCAAGCTCAAGCTACGAGAACATGACGCCGGCCATGAAAGCCGTTTACGAGATGAAAAAGAAGAAAGAAGCGCTGAAAGCTACTAAAGTTGGCAAGGTTCGCTGACTTCGTAAACACAAGCAGCATGCTTTGGGTTTCCTTTATCTTGTCGTCTTTCAATCGGAGATTCACTCGGCTATAGCATACGTGTTGAATTTGTCGAACGTAAAGTGGCGATATTTCAGTTAACGTTTGATCTCTTACTGAAGGAGGCAGGTGACACATGAACGGCTTGTTCCGTGTAAGATTGTTATATGAGCTTGTTATAATAATGGGGGCTTTTTTAAAAAAAAAAACAATACTAAATCTACTTGGTTTTTATAACAGTAGCTTTCCGAAGATTATAGTTAACATGACCACTATTATCGGCACAATAGGCGCGTCCCTATCGCACTAGATTATCTGTATTATATATGAATGTATTTCACAACATCTTCTCATTGGAAGCCTTTTGTCTTTCAATGATTACTGTGCATAGAAACATACATAGTTATGTATAAAAGGCAATTAACAAAATCGTTATTATAGACGTTTATTAGCAAGAGAGTGATGAATATAAATGTAAAAAAATCAGGTTGATTATTACACGATGCTCAAAAACAACGATTAGTGACAGTGACGAAACCGCACACGCGGCAGAGAAAAGGCGTGTTCATGACGAAAAGACTGTGAATTGTTACGCTTAGAGAAGTGTGTGTATCTAATTTGTGAAGGGAGCGCGTGGGAGTTCATTCGAGGAAGATGTTTCGTTAAGAATCTTGGTTCTTTTGGTAATGGCCTTTGAGGACTGAAAGAAAAAAGCGAACCCTCAGCAGATAAACATTTTGTAAACTGTCTAGTAAACGTACTCAACAGAACAACAATTACTAGATGTGAAAACAGATAACGTTCCGAAGAAAGACCTGCCTATATACTTTTGGTAGTAACGATACTTCGTCGTATTCTGTTTCAAGTCAGAACTGGGTTCGTTTGCTTTATCTGCAATAACTAGCTGCATCACTAGAGCTATGAAATTTAAATCGCTACAAACGAAACCAAATAGCTAGTATTAATAAACTTAATTATTAAAGCAGTGTATTTACTTGACTTCGATTGACAAGAAATAGGGTCAAGCAAATTGATATAGTTCGCCCTCTCAATAAATGTCATCCTATGCATGTAGGGCTCAGGCGTTATCTGACAGCTGTATTTGGTATCGGTACAAACAAGGTAAATCAGGTTTGTTGGCGTTAATAACCACCAATAAACAAGTGTTCTACAACTGATTTGAGGGTGGTTGGTCGATAAGCCATGATGAAATAATACTAGCGTATTGACACGTATTTTGGATGTAAGTAGATATTAGAAATAATCAAGTATACGAGTAAATGAGTCTAGTAAAAAGTGCTGTGGGAGTTTTGAATACTAAGAGTAAATGCGTGATATCTGGAATTCGATTAAAAAGGATTCTAGCTGATTTTTAATTCATTTTCCAGTGGGAAAGTTGCGATCATGGAAGTTAATACAATACAATTGCATCCGGCGTGCACTAAGCGGGTTTAGTACGCTTTTTAAAATCGTGCGTCATAATCTAAAAAGTACAATATCATACATATGTATGTCAAAATGAATGCAAAAGGGTACGCACTATATATAAATACAATGAAAACATCAAATACATGAAATAAGTCAGCTTCTAACATGATTTTCGAGTATCATGATGTATGGAAATGCGAAATTCCACAATCTTCAATAACGAGCTGGCAAGCCTTCTCTTCTCTTCAACCCGAAAATTGAAACTTTAATCCAGAGTTTTGCTTGATCAAACGATTTAAGCATTTTCCGTGTCTCTTTATGCGTGCATACTCTTGGCCTGTCTCTACAATGGAGCAGTAAGTGACATGTCTGTGCTTTGAGTACAAAAGCGCGAACAAATAAACTTTGTCTTGAGCAATGCTCAACGGCAATATGCATAACCTTGGTCTGCAATATAGTATGCTGAAGTGGGAAAAAATTGGCTAAGAGATCTCCATGAAAAAACAATTCGAAAACGTGTTAGGCAACGATAGGAACATATGCGGTGCTTTATTATGACAAATGTATCTCAATAGATATTAAATTTCCTAATTAGAGAGGAAGCATAACAATTTTGAGACTACGATTTCTTCACTATGTTCTTGCGTACTTGTAACAAAGCTTATTTATTTAGAAGGAATATGCAGTCATCAGGATGATTGTCCTGTTTGGCGTCCATTGTTTTCTCTAATCATTTGGAGTGTTTAATAGAATAAACCTAAAGCAAGGTGGCATGCTTTCCTGTAAAACGATATAGTTGCTAGGCGCCTGTTTCATTATATTTTGTACCCTACACGAAAGTTAATGAATGATGCTTGACTGTGCCATGATGAGATGACGTTTTTAACAAAACGTCTAACATAGAAACGAATGTTTGGGACGACGTACTTAATGATTCGTACCTGTCTGTTCGCCTTGCATTTGCGTTCTTGAAATGAAGCAAGAGTCTTCATCTAAAGTGCTCGTAGAAAGTTCAACCGAACGATCTTATTGTGTTCACTATTTGCATAATTTTATCACTACAATTTTATCGCGAGTTCAATAAAATCATAATGACATTCATCTAACAACTGAAATTACTTGATTTGAGCTTCGTTTTTAAATCCTTAAAGGTTTCAAAGCCAGTTTATCACAGTCTATTAGCTAATGTGGTGGTTGTAGGTTCGAATCCGAGCGTAGACACACTTTGGTTCGTGCTGGGAGCCGGCCGCCTAAGGAGACGCCTACTGGCCGTTAAACTCAAGATATTTAGCTCCCAACTTCTAAAAAGCCCGACTGATTCAAGTGAAGGCATATATATCAGCCGTAGCAGCAGCGTGTGAAATTATCAAAGCTATGAATGTCGCGAAGAGCCAACGTTCTATACTCATTGTCCACTTCGAAACGTATCAGTATTCACGTTAGTTTCTCTTAGGTTGAAAAGCAAACCTTTGATAGAATTTTATCGTTTTCATAAATAACGGATTGCTTAAGGTTGCAAATTGTAACAGACCTTCTTTAACAGCTAAATCAATTGATTGATAGGTATATGCCATTGAGCTACGATCTTTGTTAAAGTAATTTCTAACAACGTTAGGCTAAGTTCTGCAAGTGAGGATTACAGCAGTGTGCATACATGAAAGATTCATTCAGGTCGGAAGAGTTGCCCCATGGAAGTCATCTGTACCACGAACAGCAGAAATTAATTGTCATCTCTCCGTGTACAGTGAGTGGCAAGTTAAAGAATTTTATCTTCTATGATATTATGGCATCTGTTCGTGTTGTGTTTGTGTGAAATTTAGTGAGGTGAGACTCGGCAATCTCATTTGTTTCCGCTTTTTGTATTAGTTATTCCTTCCTAATAACGTTTATATATGAGAGCCTATATATATATATATGCTTAATATATTATATGTAAAATATAGATTAAATTTTCTAGATTTTACTATTAAACATCTCAAGTGCGTTTCAAGCTTAATCAATAATTATAGTTCACCTAATTTAGTAATTCTCTTTTACAGCTTAGCTTAGGTGTCCCTTTTAGAAAGCGCTTTATACACTATAGTCTTTATAAAACTGTGACAAAGTTTTCATAAGAGAATGAAAAAATATTTCTTCCAACCATTAGAAGTTGACTAGCCTAAATGATGACCTTATCCCTGTAAAGCAGTATTATTCTATTGTCATGTTTGAATCATAACAATGATTCTCCTATAATATCCTGTCAGCCTATCCTTCTTCCACTTAACCATTCAGGAGTCGTTCCTTCACTGATCATTTACGAATGATTACTAAAAGCTATAGATGCAGCGCGGCTATTAAACTGTAGATGTTGGTAACTGCCACTGTTTTGTTCTCTGCTATTTTTTTTTCTTAGTTCTTATTGCTACAATGATGCCACACCTGCAAATCGATCATGGGAAAACGTTGTAAATAGTCCATTCAACTAAGGGCCAATTTCCAGTGTGGAAATTATTCGGCACACGTCTATGTGGCGCTTATATCGATTATGTCTAGGTATATACCTAGGCGCAGTTTTGCCCACAAAGTGAAAAACTGTCCCGCTAGTAAACATCTGCTTTTTCTAAACCGTTTTTTTCGTACCACTTAATTTACTTCGAGTTTATCGTTCAAGGGAGCGTCCTGCGTGGATATTGACACTACAAAAAACTCTTAGAAACAATTTTAATATTAGTACCAAAAATATCAAGTGGCTTTTTCATGTGAGGTATCGATAATTCTTGCTTGCGTTTATTCTTGTTTTTTTTTTTGAACGTAGAGACTGAGCTCATTTTATGTGGAGAGATGATACTGCGCCGGCATGACGCTAAGGGGACTAATTAGAATAATCAATGTCATCTTTATGTTGCAACCTATTGCCAAAACATTTCTGAAGTGATAGTCCATTGTTCTGGAATCGAAATTATTATTTGGCGCTTTCAGCGAAGGTTTGCCGACCACGACGATGACCGACCTTTGGAACGCGACGTTTGAGCAGCTTGATATCCTCCGCGGTATCAATATATCGTCAAATGACAAAAAACTGGCACGTATATAATATACCGACTATCACTTGCTTCTGGAGTCGAAAAATCCTACATTTTTATTCTCAGATGTTTAAATTAAAACTATGTTTTATCTATTACTATTGTTAGCTAATATCCACTAGTACAAGTATAATACTTTAAAGCTTCATAATGGTTATTGTTATTGCTAATGCAACGCAAAGTATTCAAATTATACTATGCTCGCAAAAATATGGTTTATTATCTATTTATTATTATTTAGTATTATGGTTTATTATAATAAGAAATGTTTGCAATGAAAATGATATGTACTCTTTTCCTATGTTTTTTTTATTATATGCTGCTATTTTAATGATCAAGTTTCTTATGGCATCTTGGTGCCGAGCAAATCATACCCGTCTATTTAAACAAATAGTTTTGTTATTTATTGGTTGAAACAGGTCAATGTAGGAATGCTCGTACTGAAAACCCTATCTGCAGTAGTATCATTAGCAAAGAAGCAAGTGAATCAAGAACTGCAGGGTGTCGAACCCGTGTATCTGGTAGCAATTACTGCATTTTTCTTCATTCTGATCGCATGGATTCGCAAACTAATCACTTACAACGGTAAGTTGATCAAAACTTGTATGAATTTGACGACTGGGTACATCAGCTACAATTAAGATTTCATAACTTAATTAACTGCTTCTATGCAGGAATACGTCTTGAACTATTGTCAATCCTGGCAGTAGGTGAGCTAATCACAAATCAACAAAAAAGATTAAATCCCTTAGTAAAAGTGGACGAACCAGAAAATATTCTTCGAGACAGAATACAAAAGCAATAGTTACAGTAAGTCGTATGTAAAGATGCACGTGGCTATATTTCAGAAAAACAAAGAGCGTACTTAAATTTGATTATAAAATTAGCGGCAGCAATTGTAATAATTATATATTGTAAAAATCAACATATCGTTATAATACAAATACATACATTTGATAAACGAGTTTTTGAAGTGGTAGATGGTTCATGCATGAGAAGCAGAAAAAGTGAATTCGCAACCCGAGCTGGTTTTGATCACTTACTTTCGCTAAACTTGTTCCAAACCGCACGTAGATCAAAGCTAGAAATTACAAGTTTTACGCCCGGTACTTTAAGTTTACTCCGGTTTAAAGCTGTGGCCGGCTTTATACATCACACGATCTAACAGCTACTTCATCACGCTAAGCGATTTACTACGATACGTTTTGACACCTTTTTACAGGTAAAGCTAGTATATCTCTAAATAAGATAAGCTATATTGAGTTATTTTTTTATATAATTATGAGCGAAAAAGAAGCACTTTTGTATAAATATCGCGCAGACAACAGATGCATAATTTACAAGTTAGTGTCATACCGCAATGTTTTACGTCGCGTACATGACGCTCTAATTAATTGCGCAAATATATGAGTTTTCAAAGTAAGTTGGCATTTATAAAGGCAGTTGGGCCATTCATTAGTTCTGGTCATCTTATATCAGCTTATATCAAGTTTCTAGTTCTAATTTTCCTTCTTGTGACTGTATTCTCGAGCTCTCTTTAAAAGTCTGCATAATTTAGGTGCTAATCTCGAACTAATTTATCAGTCATCGATGAACTCGATAATGAGTTAATCTTGATAATAAGATTTACAACAACAAACAGGACGCAACACTGCACCTGCAATTGACTAGGACAAATATCCATAGTTACCAAAAAAAAGGAGTTCCATTCTAAATAGAAGTAGATGAGCAGTGTAGATAGATGCTCTTTAAATACAAATAGTTTATAACTATATATTGTTTAGTAAGTGCAAACCTGTTTTTACCAAAGCGTTGACCCAATTTTTGCCCCACAGTGCACCAAACTCACTTCGTCTTTATTTCTTTTAATCGTGTATTACACGGTGAGTTGCTTTTAGTAAGTTCTGTTAATGGGTAAGGCGAGCTTGAACTAGCACGTGTCTAGATTATGACGATTCGGGTGCTGCCTTACAACAGACTGGGTCAACGTTGCTTGACCCTAATTTTACAGTGTAAATTGCTGAGATACCTTGAGTTCGTGCGTGTTTGTGTGTGTCCTATGTCCCTTTATGTACAAAATTAATAGTGTTGTCTATCTTGTACATTCCACTTGATGAAGGATGCAACACATTAACAAAACAGGAAATAAACTTCGATATCGATTCAGAAGTTATCTCATGTCGATAAAAGGAGAAGAAGAAGCTTTAGGCGAACGTGCGGGAGCTCATCCCTAAAAATTAACTTAAAACTTGCGTGAAATGAGCTCGCAGTGAGCGAGCTTTTGATACAAATGGAAGTATTTTTCGAATATTCTATTGGAGAAAAACTATTTTTGCCACTGATATTCACTGGTATTCAGCACAGATATAAGATTTGCAAAGGGAAAAGATGTTTTTAGAAAGAATTTAAATAGCTATCTTTAGACTGAAATGCTATGCACCAATCCACATATAGCACTGTAAAGTCAGACTAAGGGAAACATTTAGATTTTGAACGGAACAACAGATTTATTGCATTTTACTAAATATCCTACCGACTTATCACTTTTATTGTGCATACATTAAGCTAGTAGCTGATAAACTATGCTGTAAAAAATACGTGTATATCGTCTTTTTATTTCTGCAAATGCATACTCCCAGCAAGTGAGCATAAATGGGTCTATGTCGTGATCATTTATAGTTACATCCTGTGCAAACATTTGACGACATTTTATAGCATTATGCAAAAAGATTTCAAAGTCGAGTCCTATTGTGAAAGGTCGTAATATGAATGAATTATATATATAATAAAGTAAATAATGTAATAATACTAAACAATATATGTATATAAAGGCATTGATGTACCCACGGAGGTAAACGAAGTGCAACGGTATTATGATTTTATTAGAGAGGCAACTCAGAAAGCAGAAATTACATGATATCAATTGAAATTTTTACCTTTATCATTTGAATTTATGGAGACTGGGAATTGGGTTCAATATCTTAATAATTAGAAATAAAAGATGTACAGTGTTTGCTACCGGAATCGATTGTGTCCATTTGAACAATCTGACCAGCTTTATAGCTGACACACACACACACACACACACACACACACACACACACACACACACACACACACACACACACACACACACACACACACACACACACACACACACACGTATATATAAATGAAGGTACTCAATGTTGTATGTTATACTACTATATATAAGTGTATAAAACTTGCATAAAGCACCACATAATATTAGCGCGTCCGTCCACAACTACTTCTATGTTAGTAGATTATTAGTAGATCATACCAAAAGATGCTTTCGCACACACTCGATTTCAAAAACAACTATTCATATGTGTGCATTTTAAAAAGAATGATTACGATGCGTTTACTGACAATGTTGACAACTTAAATTGATTAAAGATAATGTGCAGGACTTCAGCTAAAATCTTACACAATCATATATAACTGTTTTCTCTAGAAGTAAAGGATGTTTTGGACTTCTACAGAGCTACAAGCAGTAAAATTCCGGTCGACTAAATAGAAATTTGCTTCAACTTCGGCTCTATATAGCTAACGTGATTGAGGGATCCTCATTTACCGATCCTATCTGCTTCAGTATGCTGCTTACGTACTGGTCTAATAATTAGTAGCATTACGATGTTGTTAACTTTTATTTGACCTTACTATCTTAGCAAGTACTGCATTATCTTTTTTGTGAACAGATTTTGTTCCCTCTAACAAGCGAACTGGATGGCTAGAACGCATTCGAAAGCTTCCATTCCTGCGCTGTATTGTAGAACGACAACTGAAATTGGTGGGCCGTAACATAGAAAAGGACCTCAAGAAAGACTTTGTAAATTCGCCTTTCAAAACTGTCCTACCGCAACAAGGACACGATGTGGTTGGTAACTAGAGAGTATTGTTTTATCGATTCTTTTAAAGGAACAACCTTAAATGCAAACGACATAGAAACCTGTACAGTCTCTGGGGCATTGATCAATTATTTAATAGCCAAGCTAGAATCTTATAAATTTATACGCAACGTCAAACGATTAAGTACTAAAAAAACATATGTTTTTTAACTGTGTTCCAAAATATGTACTATTCAAATTCATGTGCACTCACATTTTAAATTAGGAAAAAAGTAGCAAAATTATTTTGAAAATCTGTTTCAATCTAAGATCAAAGTTTCAATCTTTCGTATTACAGGTCACAATTGTCAATGAAGTAAGAGATTATCTTAATCTCTCGAAAATTAACTGGAAGACTGGCAGCGTATCGGGTGCTATTTACTCCCCGAATGACCTTTCTTGCGAGCAACTAATGCTCCAGGTAATTTCTGATTAATATTTAACTATATACTTATGACACTCTAAGAATAGAATTTTAGTACTTTCTACGAACCCTTAAATTACTGTGAAAGCCAATATTAATCTGCATGAAATTGTTACTGACAAACTTCTTGGTAGACCAAGAAAATCTTCTATTGTTCTAGTCAGTAGTAAATAATATGTTAGTGTATTAATAATAATTATAATGTTCAGTGTGAGGCGACCGGAAAAGGCTTTCTGAAGACCGTTAGGTTCTCGAACGCGCAATAAATTGACTATCCCTCTGATATATGCTGCAGGTTTATCAGATGACGATGAAGAGCAATCATTTGCACGCCGACGTCTTTTCCGGAGTTCGTAAGATGGAAGCTGAGCTGATCCGGTGGGTGATTAATCTTTTCAATGGTGATGCCGAATGCTGTGGATCGGTACGTTTTACTCGAGAGTCGATAAAAATGTTTATTTGCTTATCTAATAGCATTTTAGTTGAATCAGTTCCTAAATAATTGTTGTTTATCATGAATATAATTGTAAGCCTTAATGAATGCGGCTATTGCACCAGCCACTCATACAGGAAGGACCAAGAAGACTAACCCTTGTTTTGCTTTTCTTTAAAAAAATAAATTTATACTTTTCCGTCGTTTCCAGCGTATCAACAATCTTGTAGCTTTCTACTGTTGTCATGCTATAAAATACCTTCAAATAGGCACACCTAAAAACCGGCTAATTTGAATCAGCATTTTTCATGCATTTACTTGTGCTATAGCAAGCCACAGAAATGTATAAGCAGCACTGCTATTCCGTGACGCTAAGCTTGACAACGTTCCTCCGCAATTGAAGACGTTTCCATAATATTAACGAACGGTTCACTGTTAATAACTGAGCTAGCCAATTTCTTACTAATGCGCCATTTTGGCAATCTCTATTATAATTATTTACGTGTGTATACTAGCTATTATTATGACTATTAAAAATACGTTCCAGGTACTTCATTACATTAAATAATTTGTTTTTCAAATGTCGATGCACCTGGACGTGTCAGATTTCGTCTGGCGGCACCGAGTCCATCCTGTTGGCCTGCAAAGCCTACAGGGATTTCGCCATGAAGACCCGCGGTATCGTGCGTCCTGAAATCGTTATTCCTGTCACGGCACATGCTGCCTTCGACAAAGCAGCTGATTGGCTTCAGCTTGAAATCCGCAAGGTGCCGATCGACCCTAAGACAATGAAGGTGGATACGCGTAAAATGCGCAAGATGATGAGCAGAAACGTCGTCATGGTATGGATTCATTTACCAAAAACTGTTCAATTAGATTTCGATAGGGGCTATCCTGCACTTGTTGCTGCTCGATCTTAGCATTCGCAAAGGTGTAAAGTGTAAAACTGAGCAGTATCTAGTAACTTGGTTCGTTTCCAATGTTATAGAGATGGGAATTTGACAAGAAAAAAAAGATATCACACTTAGCATAAAGAACCGAGCGTGGGTTAGGATCCTGCATATACACAATAGACTTCAATTGAATTCAATTGGGATGATATCGGATTAAAACGTATCCTTTTCGATTTGGCTCTCTAAATATTTAACTACACCTAAAGAGACCTGGTCACTTAGTCATTATACTGAATCTTATCGTTAAACAGTCTATCAAGATAGCCAGCGTGCATCGGTAGCTTTGAAGAGCTGCAATAGCTTCACATGATAAAGCGTAAATACGTATTTCTAATGACAATGTCCTAAATAGTAGCAAGTCAATTTCATTAATAAAACGGTCATAAACACATTCACTGATTGTTTCATCTATTTTTATAGAAAAAAAAATTGAAGGGTAAGTCAATTTAGTGAGAAATAATATACAGCATTTTCTTTCGTGATTTGGACAGATCTATAGTGAGTTTTTAGTAATGTAAACTTGTAGATAATGCCGTCTCTGTTGCAATGATTTTTCTTACTTCTCTATCTATAGTTAACTATTCATTGCTTTTTTTGCCCATTGTACGCCATGAATTTCAAAGAAAGGAAGGGAAACTGAAATAGACTGTAAAAGTAACTTTTCATTTTTTTAAATCCATGAATATAAAGCAAGTAGTCCTAAAATCAGTAAGTTTCCCATTAAGCAATTCTAGTTTTGCATTTTGTTTAGTTATTAAAACTTTGTTGAAACTTTTCTATATTTGTTGACGCGCGAGCTGTCTTTCGTGCAGACAACACATTGTGACGCAACGCCTTGCTACGTATGTGTTTCTATAGATAGGAAGTCGTCAAGGTGGTCATAAGCATCTTTTATACCACATATTACCTTTAATTTGTTACAACAGATCGTAGGCAGTGCTCCTAATTATCCCCATGGTATTGTCGACCCCATCGAAGAAATTGCCCAAATTGGAGAAAGGTGGAACGTACCTGTGCACGTTGACTGTTGCCTTGGTGGCTTCATTATGCCATTCATGGACTCCGCTGGATTCCCTGTTCAGCCGTTTGATTTTAGACTTAAAGGTTAGTCAAGCCTGAAATGCGTAGCCTTTCGCGCACACTCGATTTACCTGGCATCTGATGTTATTCTCAGTAAATTATAACTGATTTCCGTAATGTTTAGACAAGTAAGAGGAGGGCCAGCAGCATGAAGTATTGAAGCTCCGCATAAAGATACAGTCAATAATTTCTTGCTCTTTTTCTTTAGGTGTAACATCGATTAGTGCAGATACGCACAAATACGCCATGGCTCCTAAAGGAACGTCGGTAATCATGTATTCAAATAAGAAGTACCTTCATTGCCAATTTTCCGTCGCGCAAGATTGGCCCGGAGGCATCTATATTACACCAACAATATCAGGTGCATAAGTTTTGTATTAATGCCCAGTGAAAAAGATGGGTGAAAGATGTATACATGACTGCATTAGTTGGCCAGAGCCCTCTTCGCGCTTTTCTTTTCTGCACCAAATTGTATTAGGCCCCCGATAAGGAATAGATTGGTTTTTAGCGTTCGAGACACTGAATTCGCTATGCAGAACTACCTTTTGTTCTCAACTTCGACCGAATAAGTATCATACTTGTAATGATTCGTTGGTATAATATATAATGTTTCGTTGTCTGCAGGTAGTCGTCCCGGAGCAGCTGTGGCCTGTTGCTGGGCGACCCTTCGATATTATGGTTATGACGGCTACGTAAGAACTTGTGCACAGGTCATAACTGAAGCACGAAAGGTTCGTGATGGCATCCGCGAATTCAAAGAACTTCAACTGCTTGGCGACCCTGAGGTATGTGTGAGGCAAAGCGCTGTTTTGCATTGATCGTGCAAAAGAACCATATAAAATTTTAGCTGCATATTCAATTTCGATCATGCCTTTTAGAGTGGAACCTTTATGTTACTGATACATAATAATTAAATGAATAATTCGACGCGTAAATCTTACGACGTGGTTTGGAGCTAAGTAAGCAAATTTGCTGATCCATTTTTGCGTATTGCAGGCAATGGTCGTGGCTTTCACTAGTGACAAGTTAAATATTTTCGAGCTGAACTCACGCCTAGGCGTGAAGCATTGGCACCTGAACCCGCTGCAGTTCCCCAGTGGAATACACTTCTGTTTTACAGCTATTCATACGCAAAATAACGTCGCCGAAAGGTTTCTCAAGGATCTGCGAGAGACTGTTAGTGATATGCTGAAAGAACCCTCATCGGAGGTGTCCCCACAAGTAAGCAGAAAGCCATTGGGAAAACCAGGCTAAATTGTTGTTGTTTTCAGACCACAACTAGGTATTTCAACGCAAATGATATCATAGGGCGTTCAGTCCTTCTTTCAAAGCTGACCCTAATTAATATTAAAGGGACAATTTTTCTTCGTAGCCGTATTCAAGAGGCGTCAACTGTGATAGTATTACTTCTTTCGTTGTTATTGTTGTGTAGGCCGCCGTATACGGTCTCGCGCAAACTATACCTGACCGTTCGCTAGTTAAGGAAATCCTCTTCAACTATATGGACGTCGTGTACAGCACTGAGGACTACAAAGGCAGTTAGAAACTGAAAATGGGACTACTGAAAGAAAAACTGAGATATTTGATAATCTTTATATATATATATATGGTGGAGACATCCGTATGAATATTCTTGATGCACTAGCGTAAGTAAAACAACTCATTTCTTTACTTAAAAAAAAAGAGTTAAATCTGTAGTTAAATATGAAATGATACTGTTTTAGTTGGCACATGAAGAACTAAACGAAGCGATGCCGCTACACTGCCTGAAGTTATGATTACATCATAACCTGTCGACTAATAACGACTAACGTTGCATGCGACTGTTATTATGTACCAACAAAGGACACCCAGATGTTCGGGCTGTCTGAACTATTCTATTTTGTATATGAAGTCTTGTTTTGTCATAGTTCGCCTTTTTTATAGCATTCAACCAGAGCTGCAAAAATTGTTATTTTACTCATATTTAATCGAAGTTTTATTGCGATCACCGTTAGTGACCAAGTCGAGCGTGCTGCAATGTAAAAACAAGTTCATGATGAAAGCTATGATGAAAAGTAAAGCGAAACAAGACGACGACGAATAAATATGCGGATTAAAACAAATTTTTGCAATAATCCAACGCCATTTGGTGGGTGCTTTATATCTGGTAGGAGACGGCAGTAGCAGAACAAAATGTTTTATATATATAACACGACGGCCGAGAGTAATAAATATGAAATTCTAATTCTAAAATAAATATTGCGGAAATTAAGTTTCAAGATGCTCTTCTCCAGTGAAAAAGCTTGTTAGTACGCTTGTGAAGAGCGTACTAACGAGTAATACGCATGATTACATTAATTAATATATTTAACGGAGACTCTATTGTATAAAACCTTGACGGGAAATAGTGACGAGAGAGTTATATACTAGAGCCCAGGAACACAACGTCAGATCGAATGTTTTACTGACAACCGCCAACTATTCATAGCTATTTATGTCGATATTTTGGAGCCATTGGTACCTGGGAAGGGAACCTCACCTTCGAGGGATCGAAACGTATCCTTAACAATAAACCTACCAACACCGTTTTTTTTCGATACTGCCCTACTGGAAATCAGCACATTGACCAGTGCAGTCGTAGGTTTTGTGTTGAATTCAACTATAAAGCTTTTCTATAAGAGATTTGTCTAGAAAGAATACGTATAAGCTACGTATTTACGGTGATTGCGTGAAAATAAATTTTTATTCACTATGCATTTTGGCCGTCATCATTCATAAAGTGTCCAAAAGTTGATGTCAAGATAAATGACCTTCGGTTTCACCAATGGTGAAATAATAAAGCTACTAAAAAATTGGCGGATTTTTTTATAACACTGTGTACGAGTCGTTGTTGATATAACTATGCATTATTATAGTTAATGTTTCTCTCACTTTGAGACGTCGCACCACGAAAATCAGTGGTAGGTGGCAAGTCAAATATTAATATAATCCATGTCAACTTTTTATGTACTGCTGTCGCGTGTCGATCAGATGAAGCCAGAGACATTAATGTATTCGCCTTGTTTTTGAAAAAAGCGGGCTTACAAGATCTCGTCATTAGAATTCCTTCAGCTTGCTACGACTATTTCAGACTAGCAATGACCGCAAGCATGGACAAGGAAAGGTATATCGTTGTATCGCTCTAGACGGTTTGTTCAATGCCGTTCTTAAGCTGCTTTAAAGTAAATGATTAAATCTACCTAGTAGCTTCGTAAATTGTACTAATACGTCTTCGCCAGTAGTACAGTCACCATATTGGGTTTGTAGAGATGTCACCAGCGTTCATTATTTGTACATAATTTGTCTATTCCAGTTGCGCTCTTGCTTTATCATTACCAGTCCGATATTTTATAGTCTCGATTGCGTAAGCAGTGGTTTCATATTTTCGAAGGTATCTACAAGGGCTTGATAGAATTTCTTCGTGCATGTTCCACGATCCTTGTAGGCGATAAGATTGATGATGATTCTTGAAAGACAAAAAAAAACTAGCTCAATTTGGAGAAGTTAGATAGAAAATTCATCGGATGTTATTCGAAACATGCATAAATGAAGGAAATAAACATGAAAGCATGAGTTTGCAAGCTCTTTCTATCACAAAATCTCACCGCGCTTGCATGCGACACTATGCATAGGTTACATACATTAATTCCGAGCAGTTTGCGTGGTAAACGGTTGTAACAATGCTTGATTTGATGTTTGCCTTTATCTACTTACTGATCCTTCTCAAAGCTGTAAAAGCACCCATAACCATGTTCCACCATCGGTACGACGCCACCAACAAGCGGAGTGAATCCATTTAGAGAAGTGCTTAACACGAATTTGCCATTTCCTCCACTGCGCTCAAAGGAGGGATCGGTGAAAATCTCGGGCATGTCTTCACCGTTACTCTCCAGCCATGCCAAAATGGCGAGACCCATCAAGTGCCGATCACAACCGTTGGCATGGATACACTCGAACATCGTCAAGTTGAACTTCGCGACGGCTTTACTTAGTAGGAGTCCCAATTCTGCCACTGATTTCTTAGCAATGAGCGCGTTCGAAAAACTAACTACCTGTATTTAAATTATAAAACGGCAAAAAGTCATCCAGCAACTTTAGTTAGAATGTAAAGATTGACTATTATCTAGGGCATATCTAACGTACTTTACTCGGTGGAAAAATGAAATATTTTTGAAGCGCTCAAAATAACTACTCATAAATGATATGTGCATATGAATACGACATTAATAAGAAGACATATACACTAGAATACGTTTGTGATGAAATGCGCGAAAGAGAAAACGCCATCACTACCATTTGCTTACGTAGACCCTGTATACCCCTCAGAACTTTGGATTAACATAGCAAAAATTAAAGCTTAGTTTTGTTATGTTAATCCTAAGAGGGAATCATATCTAAAAGTACTACCGAGTATTTGTCAATAGGCACTGAATCTCATATGAAACCTACGTCGTGATAAAAAAGAACTGACAACTAAAACATGACGACCAACCTCTTGTGAGCACGACCTGCAGGTTTCTGTTCGGCCTCGATAAAAACCTCGAGTAGAAGCCGTGCAGTACGTCGGTGCAGGCTTCCCATGCAGCAGTATATAAGCGGCCTGCAGCGCAATTTGGATGAACGCTTCGGGATGGATCTGTGACGTTTTAAGGAAGTCCTTCCCGTAACCTTTGAACTCCTGGACATTGACGTCGATTTTAGCGGCAGCTTTCTCATATTCGGTTCGAGCTCGGACAAGACTCATCTCGAGTTCATCGTCAAGTCTATAACACACGAGAAAGACGATTTTTAATACAGTAATGATAATGATAACTAGTAGCATGCACTTAATGAAATCAGGATATAATTTAGGTTCGGGCAGGCATTGATTGCTATTTTTTTATTATGTATTAAAAATAAAAAATACATCCTGACATGAATGCAAGTATATATTAAATATTTATTCATGGACATGATGTTATAGTCTGGCACTTTATTACCTAGAATGAACGAGTATATTGATACATCTTGATCTGTACTTAACGTTGCAGATATACTCAGTTACAGTAGAATACGAGCGAGTTGAATATATTAGAGTTACAATTATAAGCATGCTCTGAAAGTTGTGATAGCACTCACTGGAAATCAATATAAACAGGTTCCTTCAAGTTGGCAGGTCTGACAGGTCCCATAGGCTGTCGATTGAGGTCGTCTATAAGCGTCGATAAGTGAGCCCAGTGTGCGAGGCATATGGGTACCATTCCATCAACCGGCGTGTGATCAGAATTAGTTCCAACATTTAAGTTCGCAAAGAAGATAATCTCTAATCCTTTATCGGCCCAACGATCGGCACATCGACCAGCTAGCGACTCGGTCATAATTTCGGACCGTGTTACTGGGGACGTTTCATCTAATACGCAAACCATCAACGATTCCTCAATCACCCTACAATTGAACACAACACGGTGCGAAAAGCATGTCTAGTATATTAATAAACCGAGCTATAGATAAAGGGGAAAAACGAAAGTAAATGTACTGTTGGTTAGTGTATAAAGCGACTATAATAGCATCTATTGCAGAATGCAGCAGTTTATCGAAAAAAAACTTTGCCAAGTTAATTTTAGGGGCTTATCATTATTGCAGTTAACGTAACGTAAGAACTGATTATCAATATTTTAGCTGTCTCGTTAATTAGCGATCCTAGCCCTTATAACTAAAATATAGGTACCCATACTTAAGTTTTTCTTCGTTTCCCTTTGAGAGGTCAATAAGGTGTTGCCTATCGGCTGCCCACTGTTCACGTTCTTGACAGGTGAGAGCTCCAACGCCTTTCCCCCGGGGCTGTGTCGAGCAGTACTTCTCAATCTTTTCTAGACCGATCGCAATTTCGGCTGCGGTAAGTGGTATTTTTTGGGAGTCACACATCTCTATCGAGAAAATGTGACCCCGACATAACACAATGACATTCGTTGGAGTGTCAAACTGCTCCGCTTCTGTGCGAAAGTAAACCCGAAGGTCGTCCATTTCCTAAAAAACAAAAAATATATTTAGTGTTAAGTCTTCGCAAATACGTATAATCTTTATTGTGCATGGGAAAATATAGTCACTTGCGTCAGGTTTATTACTGTGTGGACCTAACTTTCAAAATAACAATAGAGATAAATTCAGATTGTCTAGCTAGTACCAGAATAGGCCCATAACGTTTTAAACATTTTTTAAGCATTTAGTAATAAGAAATTATTTCCGGTTGCTTTGACGTCAGTTATTCAGCCAGTTATAACGACAGCTGAGCTGGACAGTCTTTATCGAAATGTTCGGGTCTGCAGAACCCAATATATAAATTAAGAGACACTAGCAAATCGTCAAAAGAGAATACCGTTCTTATGCCAGCATTGTTGCCAGGATATTGACTGTTGCAGAAAATATAGAAGTAGTCTGCCTGACCAAAATGACCAGAAAAGACCACTTTTTGAGTGATTGCCTTAGAATTGATCTTTGTCGGCTCGAGAGAATCCAATGGGTTCCCGGTAATTTCCTAGGTCACCAAAGTAGACGTTATTCACGTATTCACGTAAAGTGCCGCCAGTCCGACAGCATTTAATTAACCAGGTTAACTTTCAATAACCAGATTTAGTGCGGCGAACCGTTAGAATCCACAGTCATCCTTAGGAATTCATAATTGGATCTTCCGAAATTTGAATCTATGAGCTTCAGTCTCGAATTAAACTCGGATCTCGTTTTACGTGTGCCCTTTGCGCCAAAGTAGACATCAGTGTATATTTATAAGTTGTGTTTATCGCCAGTTTACAAAAGTACGTATTTTTGTCCCTACATAACAAATTATACAGCAGCTTCTTTTGCTTACCATTTTTTGTGTAGCCATCGCATCTTAGAACCCCTCGATAGTTTTCGTCAAATAATCGAATATATTAATAAAATAGTTTAAATCGCTTGGCCTACCGAAGTTTGAAAATAAACGGGTCGCTGAGCGTATGTTCGGCACACGAACTTTTTAGTTGACCTATAATAACTAGCATCTTACTACAAATGATTGTTCTAAACCTCGTAAGAAGTCGCCCTTGAGTATTGTACTTGTGTTACTGGCGTGCATGATTGTAAGTTAAATCTAATTTACTTGTCTTATTAGCACAATTCCTGGCGCTGATGAAATTGCTTACAAAATCAACTTTTTTTTTCTGAAGCAACTCACGTGTTCGCCCCCTGTAGACAGAGATCATAACGTAAAATTAATGCACTGCGAATTTCTGAAAATAGTGTGCTAGTCCGCCGGACCATAAAAAAAAACTCGTAAACGTAAAGTTTAATAAAACCGCTTCACGACAGGGTTTGCCAATCGTAGCCAGTAAATGTTTATGCTGAGAAGGAAAATCGAGCAGAAGGATTTCGAGGTGGGTTTATTGTTGTATAGTTTTAGGTCTCAAGTCCTTATCACTCGTAAATCAGGTGTAAGTCCTGTGGACCATCAAACATGCCATTTATCATAGATCCAGATGTATTATTTTCATTTGCGGGTGAAACTTTTTGCGTTACTAGTTTCTGTCTAGAAAGCATGATTGGTTGATGCGTACTAGACAATTAGACAACTGACCTTATAGATGGCAAGGTGTCATTACTGCTTTATAATAATAACTATAATATGTATTAAATACAGCTAACAAATGAACCTGCCAATAGCTACTATTATTGTGGTTTGTCGGGCGTAAAATGCTGTTAAAGCAACTGATCGAATACCGTTTATGTCCGTGTAAATCCGATAAGTGGTGATCTGATATCTGCTGGCAAAAATATTTGATAAACTCATCACTTCTATATTTTAGGCCAATCATAAAAGTTTAGATGATGAGTTTTTCATGATAAGGAAAAAGCCGTTTTAATCTTAAAAAATATTCCTATGTAATTAAAATTTTGTTATGATGCATCCCAGTTGACAATTGAATTCGACTAATTCTGCACAGATGAGCAAAAGTTTATTATAAAAATCGGCTGCTCATTTTTTCAGTGTATCTATTAACGTGCACAAAAGCGAAATTAGCTTCGGCAGATTCAGGCAGCTGTCGTAATTTTATCTTACGTTGCTCTTTTCATAACATTACCGACCTGCTGAGGAACCCTGACGGTGTTAAATGCCCTGCGAAATTGTTCCATACTCCAGGGTATGTTTCGAAAATTCTGCTGCTTAAGCTTCTCCGTTCGAATGAGATGCCAAAATCCCATGTAATGGAACAGGCCTTTGGCGGCGTATTCCCACCTTGGACCAGGGTATCGGCGAGCGAATTCGAACAAGCCAAACGTGCCCGCCATATTGCATTGCGGTATAAGAGGAACTCGGCTGCGAAGATACGCTACGTCACGCCACCACGTATCAAGCCAATTGCGCTCTTCCTTGGCACGTTCGAGTAACAAGTTTTGGAGATGAGCGCCTTGTCCTGTAAATATAAAAAGAAATTTCGAAATAATTCGATTTCAACTTGATTGTACCCAGGCGTAATGACACATCTAATGACAATAAAAGTGCAGAATAAAATGTTCTTGTGGATAGGGTCCTTATTAGGATAAACGACATAGTTTTACATTAGACCCAGCACGGCCATTTCTCTTAAAAAACTGCGCTTCAGTAGGTGTCATGTTCTGGTGGCGTCATCGATCACATGATCGATAATTAACCTGAGCCGATAATTAAATTGCACATTAGATAAACTTCACGAAGGTCGCCCTATGATAATCTCTAACTAGTACTATCAGAAAACTTTAAGCTGCCGACAGCCTTGAACATCGAAAATGTTCATTGAGTCAAGATTTGCTCAACTCCACAACATATTGTACAACGTAACTAGTTATCTTTTCCTGAGTAAGAAGTTATCGTACAGAATCCGCATCGTTAATGGTGCACAATGAACGATAATGATCGTTTGTAGGATTCTGCCATTGTACTAGCTAAAACATCTTCGAAAGCGTAGTATTTCTTATCCTATTAGATCCGAGTAGGTCAAAAAATATAACCTTCGTTGAATCAGTCTGTTTGTTCTGTCCTTCCTCTCGATTCTATCGTATAGCCAGAGTCGACAAAGAGAGCCACTCGCGTACTGCTTCCTACAAAATCAAGACCATAGCTTCGCATGCGACCATTTAAATCAGAAAGCAAGCTGCACCGCCCCCTAATTCACTAATACGCATCAATAACATGCAATATGATGAAATAGGACCGATTCAGTTCAACGGCAAGCTGTTGAGTTAAAAAGACGTACAACGACCACAGATATAGCTGCATGTTGTTGATATGCTGTGCGCGAATTAGACCCACCTTTGGCAAAGCGCTGGCAGATGCGTTTTGTGTTCTCAAATTCCTCGGGGGTTGTGTGCGGTAAAACTGAATCCAGGTACCTTTCAAGGGTTCTTTCGAGATCGGGGACCAGCAGCGACGGTAGGTCTTCATCCCTATCAAACGTTCGCTTTCCATCGGTGCTAACATAAAGACGTTCCCGCTCCCGAGCCAATGAGTCAGCTAATTTGGAACTCTGAAATTGGCAAAGTACTATTGTCGTTATTTTATTACTGCAGAAAATATTGCTTTGAATAAAATGGCGGATTTCTCTGACGATCTAAAGACGTCAATGTGTATCATAAATAAATGAGTAATTCTTGTTAAACGCTGGCTGAGTCTTCGTCAGGATGAACTGATAATGTGCGACCAGGCTGAACGAAGCGACCCGTTTCAAGCAACAGATCGCGGCAATGCCGAATGTTAAGCTCGAAACATTTTAATATTCAATGCTATATTAAACTGATGTTCCAGTTAACTGGAACTTATAACGTATGATTCTAATTAATTTTTCAAATGGCCTACCTACTGGAGCGCTATAAAAACAGCAGAAAGCGACAAATCAAAATAAAGCTAAATTCACTATCGCATCAGAAATATAACTTGAATAATTCACAGCACTGCCTGGATAATGTTAATAATTAAACTTTAGTATAATATTATTATATTACAACAGAGTTCTCCTTTCTATTAATTGCCCCGAAGGATCACGATATGTAACTACTAATTGCCACTTTAAAATAGAAAAAAATTTGGCTGGGTGTTAATTTCGCTCGCCATTATACATACGCTATCTCCTATAAAGTTGTCAGTGACATGCTTTCACCGTTGATTTACACATACGCAACCTCCAACAAGGCAGAGCTTGGACAGACGTCGTAACTGCTATTAACAACTTAATGGAAACACACAATGAACACATCCAGCTAGTAGAGGCCTATTTGTCTAACTGTCGGCGTCAAACCTAACCACAATCGGCGCAGAGCCACCGACCTTAGGCCTACAGTTTGCCCCTTTCATAATAAATAGAAAGGTCAGATGCCCAGTTTATTACCCTATCGTGTTCATATATATCTAAACTATAGATTATATATAATAACTAAAGGTGCGTTTCCATTAGTACGCTCCTCCACCGTCTTTTAAACTTAACTATACATGAAACGAGTTTTCGATGTTCTTTATGATAGGTAAACTCAGTGGTTTGGAATCGGACCTTGTATAAAATTGTTCCGTCCTTCTAAACGAGTAGCGTTTGTGTGCTTGCATACAAATATGACTACATTATTACACCAGTGATTATGAAATCGATTTCGCAGACGGTCGTAGCGGTTTTGTAGCTTACTGAAAGGTTGGTTCTATTTGCCGAGGCTTCTTTGATAAGCTCTGATTCCAATAAATATTCGTGATCATTCCATATCGACTAGTCGGAGACATCTGGCAAACTGATGGTGCCCCCACCCACCCACCTTCCAGTAATCATTATCGCCAGGAGCAGATTGCGGGTTCTCATATTTAGCAATATGGCAAGCTGGAGATGAACAGTCATGAAACTCTACCAATCGATTGCCCCAAAGTATTACTCGGCGTAGCAGAACCGCATTAAAGCTCAATTATATAGGGGGCTCGAAGGCCACTCATTGACAGTTCTGCATAATTGCACGAATACTGCCCAGTAAAACAATGCACTGGTCTTTAAGCTTTTTAAAAGCGAATTCGAAAATATCGGACTGTAAGATCTGGATCCACAGCATGATCATTGACCTAACACTGTCATCTCTAATCGTACATTCTCCCGTTATCTATCATTTCCATTCTAAATTTGCGTTGATATAGTATCAAAATCTGTGTTAGTCTAATGAAACAAAGAGGAATTTCGTCGCGTATCATAAGTCAATATCAGCCAAATACCATGTTATATGCTACAGATATGTATAAAAGCTAAGCTGTCCAAGTTTACTAGTCCTCTATATATATATATATATATAACCAGCCGGTATCAATTACTCGCATTTCAATAAACAACCACCTTTCTCTAATACCTTCAGCTACAATTGGCGCCAAAATACGAAAACGTTGAGGACGTACGCTCGGTACCCTGCTTTTCGCCAGTTGTTACCGCCTAGGTAAAATTCGCTTAATTTTCTGTAAGTATCATTCATCTACACATCGCCCTTCTGCAAGTGCAAGGTCTCGTTCTCATAACAATCGCTTCGTGACGCTATTATTACGGGCAGTGCCAGCCTATGGTATCTTTCAGTGATGAATGCCTTGTGAACAATACAGTCGCGGCCGCAACGATAGCCACCGAACAAATGTAAGGTACTTACGTCGGCTCCGAAAAGCATTTATGTATCGGAACTCAAGTTAATTTTAGACATTACGTGCTGCCTTATGCTTCACAAAATAGTTTTGAACTGCGTCGTTTCTTGTTCATGCCCAGCTAAAGAGCGGGATCTGGGCTACAAATAAATGTATAACAACAAAACTGCGCTTATTCAAAAAATATCATACGCGCCATAAAAAAGCGATTTGCGTTGCACTTCGTGTAGTACATTTCTCCAGTACGTTATATTTTACGACAAGTTGAAAGGTTTGCTTAAACCTAATTATATAATCTAAATTCAATATAGATGTAGTATATATGTGTTTACAGGCCCGGTATACTGTAACACGATCTTAACCATCTAAGCAAGTGAATACCTAGGGAGTATTTCAAAACCTATTACGGGGCTTTAGTTTTCTATACGCTTCCTCGATTTAAAAGTACGTCCAACGTAGTCAATCAATATTAACAGCGAGGTCATTTTTCGAATAACACATTTGAAGGACTGTCTACAATTCAGAGGATCTATTACGCTATAGTCCGTGAAACCAACGATGATAATAAACACTGACACTGCTTAATAATTAAAATATGTTTCATGCAAAAGATGACGCTGTTTTCCTGTTTTAGTTAGCTATATGGCTGTCATTCTCGTAAACAGGTGTGAATAGAGTGGTTAAGTAACAGATTTAGTAAATCATATTTCCGCTAAAACCTGCCAATTCTTTCTGCATAATAGGAGATGGACAATGGAACTATTTAGTGGTATACAGGTCGACAATCGTATAAAACCTGAAAGTGAATAGGCGTAGCATTTCATATTCAATCAGATCAAGAAGTTCTGATTAGAATAAGAACCTAATTCGATGTTGTAACAATCACCGTTCTACCAATTTTTTACGATAACATTATTGAAACATATTTTTTCTTACTTCACATGTCTTCAATCTAGCAAATTATTCATTATAGTTATAAATTTCACAACTGTCAATGTTTTGCATTAGGGTATATGCATTTTTAAAGTTATTTCAGCTCCTAAGTTACTGCTGTGAACTCGCAAAGACGACTTTGCGTCTTTTATTCCGCGCCAGTGCAAGCAAATTTCATCTGCAGCAAATGCTAACAACCCTGAACAATTATACTGTCATGCTTGGTCCTACAACGGACCAAGCCAGGACAGAGTTGCTCAGAAATGGGGAAAGGCTTACTGACAATGATCCGATTTGGTCGAAGTTGACAATTTGAAAATTGCCAACCTGTTGAGGTACACCTGTTTCAGGCCAACGACAACAGGGATGCCCTTTACCGGCCATCCAGCGAAGAGAGAAAAGTAACCATTACAGCTATTACGGTTGAAAATAAGCAGAACCAATTAGTCGAAACAGCGGCTAGGCTGTTCACTTTGAAGGCTGCTTCGACTGCCGCATTCGGTATCCCGATTCTTTAGGAAGAACTAAGTGTCTGGGACCTACTACATATTGCATACTTACACAAACCGAGTCATATGATTCAAACTCAAGGTCAAAAAATCAAATGTACGGAAACAGAGTCATGCCGGAAATCTCTGAATCGGGCGAATTGAAACTGAAACATAATGACAGAAAAATTGGCAAATGCACCGCATTTACATTGATAATTTGTAATTTGGTATTTTCGGCACATGATGTTACACGATATTGCTTGGGGAAATAACTGTTCCCAATTGCAATTTGGCATCCTTTCTTACGCTAGCAGTACGTTTTTCTTAAGTTTCCTTTTTAGTTCAATAAACAAGCTTCAAGACATATTTCCATTGGAGAAGATTTGAAGAAAGTGGTAAGCATAGATATTCTAAATATACTCTACCTGTGGTTGGATCTTCATTGGCTCATTATACTGTTACTGTATAAAATACGTTCTTGAGTTATACCACCTTAGTACGAAATCACCATCACTCTAAATTAATCACTTTTTCCGCTGGTCTGTCCAGTAACTAGTGAAGTCCGTTGCCAAGGGCTAAAAACGAGCACCTGACTAATGTTCAGTCATTGTCATTTAAGACCCCTGTAGGACAGCATGGTCTCAACAATTTGCTGTCGTGCCCATTCCAGACTCTTGTCTCGCTAAAAAAAGAAAGAGGAAGGCAAAAATCCCGCTATGCGTCAACTAAACACTTGCTTCGTTTAAAAGTATGATAATGTCTACGCAGCGATAACAGCTCCTTGAGTAAAAGAAGTCGGCATACAGGAATGAGACCTTTAGCGGGCTTGCAATAGTCGATATGAGACTGGACTTTGAAGGGTCAGAGGTCGGCGAGTCGTGCAGAGGGTTCGCCAAAGTCTGTGCCACGTAGATGGCGCATCTGCAAAGCAGCAGAAACCCTTTCTTTAAAGGAAGTAAATACATAAAGATAAGGCACAGCACGAAAAACGAATCGTTCACAGTTGAATCAATGAGCAAATAAAAGTAGAGGATAACCAAGGTTTACTTTGCGAACATATAGAATTAGAGGTCTGTTATATCGAGGTCCTTATGTCAACCTATTAATCCTTTCGCAGTTTTATTTCGTCTTAGATATCCTATTGTAGACTCGTTTCATGTAACTGGGACAAGACAGTTAAATTCATTGAGCTAACAATATAAAACTCATTGGTAAATGTCTACAGCGGTAGTCACCAAAGATGAAGGTACTGCCATGCATTCTTGCGCATAAAAAACAAACAACTTTTTTTATCGATGTCTATCAAAGTTTAGCAGTTAAGATATATTGGCAGTCGTGTCTAAAGCGACATAGCTTTTGTTTATTTTTAGGTTTCTTGATAATACTGTTATATATATATATATATATATATATGTTATAAATATGGAAGTCGATTGTAGATGTTAGGTATTTGAAATGTAAAAAAAACGGTTGAGTCACAGCAGAACAGTGCAATATGTAGAAATGTAGATGTATGTACATCTAAAAACGATATAGAAAAATTGTAAATATCACGAAATGTATGGCTGTCTACAAGATACGGACACATAGCTGGGTATAAACCTATAATCCCGGCTTTCGAATGGCTCATAACAGCAATATTAAGGATGTTAACAAACAATGATGCTTGCAGGTTTAAAGATAACGGTACTGGGTATTTTTTTTCGCTATCGATAACTTGGGTTGCGTCTAGAGAACACAGCCACCATAGCGGTTTGGTTCACCGAATAGAGACGAAGCTAATACGTGCGATTAGTTTTTACATTCGATTAATAACGAAGCTTTAGAACTGGTAGATATTTTTTAATGCACTTGCATTAGTTAAAAAAACATATAATCAACACACAACGGAGAACACAGTTGAGTCTTAGATTTATGCGGTTGTGCGCCTCAATTCCAGTGGCCGCCTTTTGAAAAACTTACGACGCATGAGCTTCGTGATTCTTACCAAAATTGCTATGTCAAAACACAATATTCAGAAGGAAGAATCGTGTTTATTTAACCAATAACGGCAAATTAACACTTTTAATCCATGAAAAATTATAGAAATGACATTATACTAATTTTTGCAACGCAGTTTCGCTAATTATCTCACTAAGCAATGTCAAAAACCTGGCAGTAATTTCTTCTATTTTTCTGTTCAGAAGGCTTTTTAACTTTTAGAGAAAATAGTCTACTGTGAAAATATTACAATGAGAAAAACACCTGGCATTGAGCAGCTTTAGAAGTCTTTGGAGCTTGTCCAAGAACGCGCTTTCATTGGTAGTAAGTCTTCTGATAAAGATGCTGTGGCTTGAAAGGGTGTTATTTTGTATTCGTGTTTGGGTTTTTAAATTTAATCTGCAAAAACGTATACAAACCTATGATTAGAAGAAGATAAGTTTATAATGCGTTTTCTAGCCGTTCGTTTTGAATAATTTGGCATTCGCTTCACAGGTATAACGAACCTTGCCATTAAGACGCGTTGGAATTGGCAAGCTGATCAGAATTTCAACGCAATAGCCTACGCCGTTTTAAAACGTAACTTTCAAATTATCCTTGAGCAATAGTAACTGCGGTGACATTAACGATCGGTATAATCAACTCAAGTCTGTCTATAGTTTAGGGTTTTTCGTACACACAGACAGCCCCTTAAATATAGCTCCATGTGTCCTATTTGCACGTTACGGAGGGCTTAACCGATATAGAACCAAGATCAAAATACAGTAGTATCTGTGCACCGACCGAGGCTTCTGAAATGATGTCCTTGTTGCTCAACTTTATCTTTTTACAGTTAACTTCATGGTAATTATTTCAGGCTAGCAAACGTCACAGATAGCCAAGGACAGGCGTGGTTACGTTGTCTGCGCACCGATGTCCTGATCTCAGCTGTGTTGTTCTCTTATTAAACATGAGGCACGTATGATTATACTAAAAATAATGCTGCCCTAATTAAATTTACAACTTAACTATACATATCTCTAGTACTTGAGGTACAAGTAACGGTGGTTAGAACTTAATGCAGGCTGAAGTCTTAACATTTAACCATCGCCTATGCAAAAGGGAGAACTTAATACTGATATTAATAACATGGGTGGTCATTAATTATTTTAGCGGTTAAGTGAGTCTGAAGCATGGAGATCCCACTATCTCACAGAAGCGAACACGAAACACCTGTGTCCAGCATGCCCGTATTAGAATAGTTTACGAGACTAATGCTGGCGATGCTTCTGCCCCTGGTCCTGTACGACTGTGCAACAGTGGTGTCCTTAACTAATTCTGTCGACGTTTGATTTCAAATTGTGACAATTTAACAAGTAGCAGAGATCGTCGCATATGACCTATCGAGCAGTCCAAAGGAGAATGAAGCCGTCTAACAAGCGTCTAATATTTCAAAAAACCTTTCAGTAAAACGCCATGCAAGTGACACCAATCACGCAGTCAACCGATCAAGAAATTCTACGTATGTACTGAAAGGCTGAATTGTATGGCAACACTGTCGGTAGCACTTACGAGTTCGAGAAACCGAAAATACGATTATTCCGGAACTGTGCAAAAAAGTAGCATCTGGCGAGCATTTTTTTGCTACAGAACTAGTGAATTAGACATTCAGTATACAGATATGTTAGATGGGAGGGCTGCATATTTTTTTATTCGATTTTGCTATGCAGGTAACGATCGGTCGCATTTGGTTAATAAGCTCAAGGTTTTGATTTGAACAGTGATATCTTCATAATGACTTTGATAATGCTTTTACTCTTCGTAATAAGGTTGTCTTAGCCACTGCTAAAATGATCGAATACTAGAAGTGAAATCAAATCTTCAAAGATATTTTTCTTTACTTAAAATTGTTTTCTAACATATTCCTATGGAATTTTTCACCTAATCACTAGCACGATATTTTCTACTTCCGAGTTATTTAGACCAGCTGATACCTTTGTCTTTAAATTTCATAAGCCATCATTCACTTGAGAAGAAACTACCAACCCTACATACTATAGAAGTTTGAGGATAAATCTAAGAGTAGTCTTCGGGTGTCAGGGCTATTAGTTTAATAAACAAAAAACTAGCGAACGTGATAATATTCTAGATTCCGACACGTATAGAGAAACAAAGGCGTAGAGGCACAGTTATCTTTGTGCTTGAGTCAAGTAATTTGTCTAGTGACAACCACATTTAACTGCAAACGTTCTGGCTCACGTCGTGGCAAACACGCACAATTCTCTTTTAAATTATTTTTTAAGCACAAGTGAGTTTTGTTCGTTATCCCCTAGAGTACCGCCCAAATAGACAAAATTACTCAGTTTGTAAAGACTAACTACTAAGAAATATTGAGGTTTAACTTAAGGGGCTAAGCTACAAATAAATCATGTACTATCTAACAAGTTTTTAAAATGACAATTTGCTGAAATACGTCTAGATACGAGCATATCAGCCAGTGGATTCCTTAAAACGTTTAAATATTTAGGATGGTAAAAAAAAGTCCAAAAGACACAGATGAATCAAGGCACGAAAAGGCCGTGTTGGGTCTGAAGGAATGGTACGACAGGTCTTCGCGCCAACTGGAGCATAAAAAAAGTACAGACGCCTAAAGAAAATTACATTTCAACTTTCTTTTAATCATTAATTTTCTGTATGTCGTTTTGTTGCAGGGTTGTAATTTCATTTACAGTAACGCTTTGTCTCTCATAACAGTTACTTATAACATTTCATCCTAATAACAGCCAAAGTAATCGTAAAGGCCAAATCGGCCTATGGCCGGTTCTACCTTACATCACCAGGATCAATTTGGTTGCGTAGCTTAATGCAGGTCCAGTTTCTTTTAAGCAGTTTACTCGAATTTGCTGATTTAGCACCAGAGCTCATGGCGCCCCTCATTGTTTACCTACCGTTCAGTGTTGAGATGATCCCTCTTGCAATTTGGCTACCGAAAAGCAAGTCAGGGTTATTAAACTGTCCTAAATAAGGCCCAAAAAAGGCTCAGTCTAACAGATGTCATCAGCTATTTATAACGCGCATAAATACAGATCCATTATCTACTTTATTATAGTACAGCCACAGCATAAAAACGTTTTGATAGAGAAATACGCACAGAAAGCAAAACACTCTTTCCAGCAATAATCGTCCACGTTCTGAGCCGTACCGCTGCACCTTACTGGTAAGTTGTTGCACACATTAGTTTTTAATTCCCTGAAATGTCCATTTGTGGTTCGTTTGTAGGCAGTTACTTCAAGCCACTGAATTCAGATGCTACCCGATTTTAGACTCTTCTTTATAGGACACCCAGTCCTGTTACCAATAATGGGAGCTATATATACCGCGAAAGGACAGCGTTTTGCGCCTAATTAGGCAGCAGTATCGTTCCGGTTTTGATTGAAAAGATGGTGCGTTCACTCAATCGCCTGACTGTAAGAAAACGGTACCTGGATACCTGAAGAGATAGCTCGATGCCCCTTCGTAGGCAGCCAATTGCACTAAAAGATAATGCCGTGCTTATTTTAATGGTCGGCTCCGACCTGATTTTCAATACAATCACATACGCCTTGACGGTTGTGAAGACTGGCTATTGCGCCAGATGGTGTCACTGGTAACGGGTCGCAATAGCAGGCCGCGGTAACAAACTAGATTGTTACAGCACATCTCGAATGGTTTGGTTAAATAGCATTTATTGTTTATTCAAGGTAAACGAGCGAGTCAAGGGCGACATGGCAGTATTAGATTCCCGTCAACTTTAGTCTCGTATAGACTAACAAAGCTAATACACGTTTAGAAGATGTTACTTGACAGTTCGTTTAAGAAGCAAACATTCTCTGTAGTAGTTTATGTCGCATTTAACTGAATACTATACGGGTATGACCTCCGAATCACGGATTAAATCACAACGTTTACCTAATAAACGTGGTCGGCACTTCGGGTAACAATGCTGAAACTAATTGATATTATTTGTTAACCCCTCGTTTAGAGTTGCATAAGTAGGACGTGTAGGATGTCTAGTTGCATTTTTCCTGATGTTAAGAAACATTCCTTTTACAGTTTGTCCTACTTACGATGCCCCTGAATTAAGGTTCATTAAAGGCGCAGAGAAGCACACATCAGGTTTCACTAAAGAAACTGTTGGATGGCTGTTTATTGAGTACGAGAAACAAAATAATTATGTACATCTAACTGCTGTATACAACGTATCACAGTGCGTACCAGTTCCAGTGTACTCCATACAATGTGATGCATGACAAACGAAAAACGCACAGATGATTACAGAGTAGTAACAAATAAGCACAATGTATAAAATTCTATAAGCATTTATTTACGACAGGTACTGGCGAAGCTGTTTCAGGCCAATAGACGCGGCAAAAAAAAAACGAAAATAACCAACAATACCAGCAAATAATACGGTTTGTGAAAAAGTGTTTACGTGTAAAATTTAATAGAAACGTATCTTTCAACTTTGATTTTTGCCCTAAGGAAAATACCTGTATTTTAGTACATGTGAGTGAACGACCCATTACCTAAATGACTGACTAGAATGGCTTTAGCGTTGAATGTATTATCAGATCGTGGACTATAATATCAGAAAACGATAAGAATGCTTTAGGCTTTGCCTTGGTGAACGATTTGGTGAAGTTTACAGAAATGCTATCGTATACATTAATTGTTCACATGTGAGCTAAACGAATACGATAGTGGTGACTATATTCCTCCCGATTCTAACAGAATACAATGTGTCCATAATAGATCAACTGAGTTTAACCTTGGTTCTGAATGATATCTGAGCAATAACGAATAATCGAAGTTCAACGAAAAGATAGCGTATATCAATCTTAGACGGGCTATAGAATAAAGACGGGTTCAAAAGATAGGTTCAGAAGAATTTCGAAATGCCATCCGACATACGGCAGTATTTTTCTGTTTAAATTCTTTCAAAAGACTATAGAAACATGTCCGTGAAGTATTGTAAAAGACCATGACAGCAGCCGAAATCTTCAGCCTCAATTTAACACAGCCTTATATTTAGTGTGAAATGTCTGTTTTTACTCGATTTTACTGCTTTTTAGCGACCTAAAATGATCTGTATCGTATAACATCAGCCTTAACGATGCTTCAGTTATGACCACTAAAGTGTCTGCTGTAGGTTTCCAGTGCAATATTAATTAAAATATGCGACCTTGCCATGTATGGTGTTTTCTAAAAATTGTGGTGTTCGAAATACTCATAAAATGCTAAAGACAAACAAGATAATCTGACGGACGGTCCAAAAAAGCCAAATGGGCCATGAGCACAACCATGGTTACTAAAGAACTATTTACATTACTAGTTTGAGAGTGACAGATATCCATTGCTTCAAATATGACGCATTGTATTTTTGTCTGACTGCTATCACAACGACTACTACTTAAGGCTTACATACACACAATTCGACCCATCCAAAAGGAGTGATGAAAAGTTACAAAACAATAAATGGATTTCGACTGTAAAAGGTGAAAATGCATCGTATTTTTTAATTGCTTAACACATTGTTTTAGCGGCTTATTAGATCAATGCCAATTTTTTTGTGTTACGGACACAGAAAGTCGCAGATGGATTATTAGGAAATAAAACCGAACATAGATCGTTCTAGTTAAGATTTACTATGTGCCCACTAAATTTAGAGGAGTATGAGAATCAAATCCGGGCAGAAAAATACTTCGCTTCGTGCCGAAAGCAGCCAACCACCTGAAGTGGTTTTTCTGAAGTCCAGCCAATTTCTGAAGTAACAGACGTGAAACTCGAAAATTATTTGGCGCCTAAATCATGCATAAGATTATTTTTACATCTGGGCATTCCGTGCCTTGAAAAATATCACAAGTTTACACCTTTTACAGGATTCGCCAAATATATTTACGTTTTTAAGTCAGTTACAAAGAAAACGGGTTACGGAAATATCGTACATATGCACCGTATGCAAATCATATAACAATAATAAGCTGCCCTTTGAATTTCTATAAACTAACACGAGCGTAATCTCGTTCAAGTGTTTGGAGTTGAACAGTAGGCAAAATATTCAACGAAACTAAATAATAACGTTGTATTTGCCGTAATGTTTCCCATAGAGTTAAAAAAAATAACCTCATAAAGATAAGAACCCCACAATAAAAAATACCAAAATTTTCCATACTTTTTTGTGCATTGGTCTTTAAGAAAGATAATTTGCATTATGGTTTTACATAGTCGAAGAATAGATTTTTCAATGCAAAACCCGCGCTAAATCTCATTCAAAGGGTGCTCTGTTTTCTTAAGACAAGTGGCTCTTGTGGCGTTCCTGATGGGGGGTACCTTGGGATCAGTTTTCATCTTCGTACTTCCTTTGCATATCGCTAGCCTGGGGAGTAAACTGGAAATAATGCTGCGAGCAAGCTCAGTATATCACAAAAATAGATGATTCTTTAGTACAGCATTCGTTATTCTACCTAAAAGCCCCAAAGATAAATGTATAATGGCCGCTCTACATCACCTGCAAATCTCAGTTTTCATTCTGATGATGAGTCGATTTGCTGTTTACAATTGTGTGTGATCATCAAGGACTTGCCAACTAAAGATTCTCATTATTGTTCTTAATATGATGCAGACAACCGACAACGCCTTAGGATAGATAGAAATTTGACGGGAATATATGTAGCTTGACGAACCATTTTGTTTCGTAATTTCCAAGAGAGTTCTTTGTCAACAGGGAAAGTAATTTGCTGTTACAATCAAGTTTCATGAAGATAAGGCTCGTAGCTAACTAACAACTTAGTGTTGGATATTGATAAGAAACCAGCATTGAGCTGGCTAGATCAGTTGGCTAAATTTATCAAATGTATTATCAGTCCTTATAAGCTCGTTATATTCATGAAGAGTAATCCTATCGCAAAGGTTTAGAAGTTGAAGTGTAGATTCAAGAATAATACATGACATTATATTATGTGTGAACAAACTTATCTGAGAAGGAACATGAAAAATTCGTAAATACTAACTTCGTCTTTGACATTCTCTGTCCAATCCATTGCGTAGGTTTTGCTTGATTCCTTGAGGATTAACGTTTACCTTCTTGCTTATACTCTTAAGAATTATTATGGTGGAATTCCTGGATGAAATTAGACGTAGTTTACCAGTTCAATTACAAAAGCAATAATAGGCATCATGCGTCAAATTCGTTTGCTTATAAACATATATATATATGTAGCATAGGTCGCTTTCACTGACACGTAACTGGCCATATGTACTTGATGCACGCACTGCACGAATCGTCCTAGGTCAGATCGGAGCATATTTAATCTGATGTACCCTATACAACCAGACATGTGCTACTTGTTCGCCCATGATGGGGCTAGTGTCCACTCAAACACAAACAAAACTTTTCTATTTTCTTCTATAGTAGATCAACATAAATTATATTCTTTGCTCGCAATCACAGTTACATTTCATCGCTTGTCAAAGTGAAGCACAATGCTGTTGTAGAAAAGACAGAATTTACATTTGCTTCAACTTTCGTTTGAAAGTTGTTACGCATCCAACTGTACAGAGACAACAAGTGCTTTTATTCAACAGGCCTACGACGGCACAGGTGCCTCCATCGGAAGTGAAGGCTGCTAACCCGTCTGCAACAAAAGCACTACCCGAATTACAATGGGCTGTTTCTCTTACAAGTGCTGCCGTCAATTTCAGCTCACTGTCACCAGGCCGTTACCGCGCGCGAATATTCTGGTCTGACCTCCATCAGTCGAAAATCGACAGCGCCGCCTTTACTAGCATCGACATCGCTACGAATGGCCGACCATCTTTGCAGCCGCATCTGAAACACTGCAATGCAAAATAACCGTTCATTTCTGCTACAGCAGCGAGTTGCGCGATCACAGTGCCTCCGTGCGCATAAAATCGACAACACTCGCTCAGCGGGCGAGCAGTTCTTGACCATCATCCGCTAGTATAGTTGATACTACGACGACTAACGTCGTTTGAGGCGCTTGCGGTATTTCGGGTTCACCAGAACAGTTGCTCCGTACAATAGCGTGGCGTAGACAGTAAAGCGCTTCAATATATCCCAGTTGCTGCTCCTAATACACAGCGAACGAATTTGCTCGTCGTTGCAGTCGTCATTTTGTCTGAGTTGAGTCGAACGACAGTGCTGCCAGATATTAGTAACACCGACAAGCTCATACGCATGACAACAGTTATTATACATTTACATTTATTGAAACCTTGGTTGAGATGGATCAGGGGGTCACTGCTTCAACTCTTGCCAACGCTAAATAACTACACAATGTGTGTAAATAAAAAAAAAAAAAGAAAAAAAAAACATTCAATTTAGCGCACCTGCAATCTGGTACCGAGAAGACCAACATTCCAAGCCGCAATGCGTTAGTTGACGACTGGTTTGAAAAATGATTCTACGTATTCTTGATGGCGCCTGCCTTGCTTGTAAGCCTTAGACGTTGACTCGTTGGTGTTTGAATATCACAAAGCTGTGGGATTCGGATGAGTCGGATCCAAAACTGAGTTCAGCATTGCAGAATTCCCATTTCTTTATCCTGCTTGTCTTGTATTTCTTTTTATATGTATAACTATGTGATGATAACAACTGAACGGAATATATTTATATACCCTCACAAGGTTTGTTTGCTGAGCTCAGCTTAAATACCAATCAGCACAAGAACATAATGTAGTCAACTAAGAGCGGCATTGGAGTTTTTTTGATAATGGTCTTCTGTTTTCCGGTCAACAAAGATCGTTGAATTGCTTCACGAGACCCTATGCCAACGGCGACGGACTAACATAGATGTATTCAAGCCAAAAGATGCTTCAGTACAAACATTTTCTTAGTTTTCTGAAAGCTTATAACACACCCTTTATGACTTATCTTGTTTTCAATTAAGCACTCGATAATCATTAATTACTCGGAGACGTGAAGACGTCTGCATATAATCGATAGGTTGGCAAAAGAATAGAAGATAGTTTCGAGCCTTGGTACCTGATCCAGAAACATATATTTTAATGATGCAGTACAATACTTGACACTCCAATAACATCAAAAACCTTTTGATTGTACTAAACGTAATTTGTAAGTAAATCCACCACTTTTTTTATATATAAGCCTCATACGAAAACCTTTCATATAAAATTTATTTTTTACACATTGCTTAATTGTGAAGTTACTAAGTAGGGAAGGGCTCAGTGGATAACCGAGCTTCATGTTTGGAAGCGAAGGTACTATATATATATAAGCGAAGCTAGATAGAGTAGGGCACTTAGCTAAAAATTCTAAAATGAGAAATACGAAAGATATTAGAGCAGCATAGTGGATTGTGAATGATTATCCACGTGCTTTCACGTCGTAGGAAACTAACTTGATTGACTAAATATATCAAGTACGTCATAATACCATAATGTACTCTGCTTGACTTGTACTACATTACGTGTCACTAAGTCTAGGAAATTTTTTATGTGTAAAAGTTTGTTATTTGCATTCTTATATCTTCGCTTGTAGCTAAGTATAGTAGTCTCTATCCACTTTTCTCTGAAAGTAAATGCGTCAAATCGTGTCTTCACGCGAATATACTATACAGCTTTAGAGATATGTTTATTTAAATTTCTGCAATATAGGCCGTAATGCAATGATGTATTAATGCTAATAATCTCTTATTGTAGTTGCTACGGGCGGCTATTTTAAGCCAGGCGTCAAGCATATCATAAAATTAATTGACTGAGTTTGTTTTAGCAACATGAACGAACACAAAAACCTTTATATTTACAGTAGCTATTATTAGCCTTAAAAGAAAAAAAAGCCATTAAAAACATTTATCCTTTAATCATCTGATTTTAATGATTACTTTAACCTCTATGGATCCAGTCTATGTATTTACTTATATATATATATATATATATATATATATATATGTGAATGTGTCTTTCGACTCGCTTACATTTTGGATCTATCCATTGGTAAACATAGTCAACGCCAAGATACGATACAAATACAAGATACGATTAGAAAGCTTATATTTAGAAAACAATACATTACCCATTTTGATACGCAAGTTATCCTAAACTTTTAGGAAAACTTACGTATCAAAACTTTTTTCATAAACTTTTAATTTGTATTCTTCGCGCCGTAAACAAGTAATTACCTAAAAGTTGCGCGCCCGCTTTTGTTGGATACGAGGTAACGCAGCATACGAAGTTAAGCTGAAGCGTTTACGATCCAGATCAAAGCTCAACACAACTCAATCAAACCTCAAACAGAAATTTGTAACCGATTGTATTGTAACAAAGACTTACTTACTTGTGAGCCGTCCAGCATGACGTCATATTATGCGCGAGGGCTTTATTTACCTCATCTAAATAACCACAGAATTTTCACCGCACAAAAACAATGACAGTAGCAAATGTTCAGTTCTGTGTTCTTTTTCATTCGTTTGGCAGGTGGAGCTTTACCCTTTCCACACTGAGCACTATGAGCGGCATATTCCGTAAGATAGAGCGCGGAGTGTACGGATCTGCTAGTCGGCGAAAATTGATGATAGGCAACTGGTTAGTTAATTCGTTCACCTTGTTGTCGGCACCTATTTTTTTTTATTGAAATAGTCGAACAACCAAGTAGTCAAAAGTTATAAACAAGTTTCTTCTTTTTTGTAGTTCTCAATAAACATGTGTCATGGCTCTTCATATTATGCAGGACCTTGTTGTATAGTTCTCTAGTCAGCATTAGAGCAGTGTGTTTTGATGCTTCTCGCACAGCAAGTTATTCGCCGGAAAATCGGGCTGCTCTTACTAGACGTGGATGTCAGCTGTCTGGCGGTCGATCATTTGCTGCAGGGATCGGTGACCAATTTGTGTTGCGCTAAGTATATTCAAACCACTGCGTTCGTAGATGGGACTGTGAATCCTTATGTACACTAATGCTACTTTGTATGTAATCTATTTCGGTAAGTGTACTTACCTCACTGTCGGCTGCTATATGAGCGATAGTTGATAAATACTAAAGAACTGCATTCGGATAGCGATTTTCAACCAGATCAACATTAACCCCAGTCCGCTATTTGTGTTTGATAGTTCCGATTAAACGGGTTGCCGATCATACGAAAGCGTGACCAAGTTATTGCCAGTCAAACGATATACCTATCTCGTATATAGTGATCACTGTGATTGCTGCATTTGTCTTTGTTTTTCGACTTCACTAGCAGTTCTCGTTAATGCTCTTACTTAAGATTTGCTTAAGTGTTCGTTTCATGAGAGATTCTAGAACGCAGAGCGTCACTTTAGTAGCTGCCGCGCCCAGGTTGAATGCTATAAACACTTATTTTCGTCCATGAAATAACAGCGGTTGCACTTTGTCTATGACAAATAAGTATTCCTTGTCGCTGCGTTATGGCATTTGTAAATTCGCTAACGCAACGAAAATCGTGCTTTCTCTGATTTATACATATATATGTATATATATGTATGTGGGTCCAAAAAATGTATTGCAGATGTGCAAAATGATTACCGTTCTGGTCGCTACACTGCTAATAACAGTGCGCTGTTAATTCACAAACTTCAACAGACTTGCAAATCGTCCAGTATCGTCGTTTTTCTGGCGTGAATTTTACTTTTATAATATAAAAGTTCAAAGCATCAGGTGTAAGGAACGTGCAGAATATTAAATAGAACTTTTTCATACCAGCTATATATTTTGAAGATACTCATCAAGATGTACTCTCGCATCACAATAATAATGTGCAGGCGGCCTAAAGCTACACTATCAAACAAGGTGTGACAAAATAACAACGTAAACGTTTTTGGAACGCCCTGGAAACATACTTTTTGGCCTATTGGTTCTGCATTTTATAGGTTTATCTTAACATCTGCGAAAAGATATGCAAGTAACAGTATTTTTGTGGCCATTGTTAGACGCGGCTATTTATATACTTCAGTGAGCTATTTCGGCGCCGCTACTGTTGTCTGAACGGGTCAACAGAGTTTTGACGAATGGGCGTTTGTCGTGTATTTGCATTAATCTGATAGATTATTGTTATGATTAACCTGAGTAAATGTGTTTGTGCTGCATCAAAGGCTTTCATACCGTTGCTTCTTCTAGTATGTAGTAATAACCTATTGAATACAATCTGAAAAATAGAGTTCGCGTTATTTAGCGGAACTACTGGGCTTATAAACCTGCATCACAACTTATAATAATTTAAATAAACTACATTTTGCAGAATGTTATATATAAAATATACCGCATTATCTCAGTTTAATTATATCGAGCTTTAATTGAAAGTAATTAAAACTATTTAGCCGTTCCGTGAGAGTCTGTCCTCTCTACTATATCAGATTCTTTTATTTTTGCACTGCAGTAACGCGTCTTGCTTACACTGTCACCGAAAATCTGACTCTGAGCGGATCTAATCATCTGCGGTTGGAAACGTCGGGCTCCAGATAGTGCCAGTACGTAGTTCATACACAGACGTTAACATGCTGCTTTCTCAGCTTTGTACGTAGCTTTTGAACAAGCGTTTCTATTAAGCTATTATTCCCTAATAACTGTTTGAGACTACCTGTAGGTTTTTGTTCTCCATTGGCTGTTCTTTGTTATACACGATGTAATATCTTTATCAACCTTCGTTTTGCTACAGTTGACGTATACGGGAAATTTTAGAATTTGGAATACGCTTTTTGCCGCTTATATTGCAAAACACACATTTTCTTTACACACGAATCAGAAAATTGTTGGAGGTGAGACCGCTTGCAGACAATAAAACGCTCATAGATCCTAAAGATTTTTTTGTCCCATAAAAAACTATGCAGCTTGAAAATCACGGACAAAATCAGAGGAACATCAACAATTAGTGGAACTCTAATAAAGAAAGGATATCCAAGTATCACACAAAAGACCGTAAATAAATGCTTGGCCTCCAATGTAAACGTCTAATTGTTTATACGGGTGACTGTGTCAATTTGGTTTCATGCGTGCGCCGTGTTCTAACATTAGCAGATGCAAGAGTAAGCCGCCAAAGGACGTCCGGCCTCACTTCTCCAACCAACCCGGCTAGCAAGAATGCATTTGCCTTTAACAAAAACTACAATTCAGCTTACCCCTTTAGCGGCTAACAATCAGCCATAGAGTAACCGCTGCCCACAAACAGATTTAGCAAATTTCGAAGTGCGGTACAAAGGAGTGCATGCCATCTGCTCGACGTTACAGCCATCGGCTGCACAAGCCTGCTTATCCCTTCGAAGACGTTGCGAGACTTCGTCGGGAATTTTTAGGAGGTCCTTTTCGAGGGCTTCTTGAAAACAATTGCGATGGGCGACGGATGGGCCTTGTTTGTCCTATCGAGCTCCATGTTCGTTGGGTGCTACCTCAGCGGATTGATACCCGTGTCAATGAAGTTGTCAGAAGACAAGATCAATGTCGTATCAATTCTTGGAGCAGGTTTGCTGGTCGGAACCGCGCTAACCGTCATCATACCTGAAGGTAACGCAGACACTTTCCGCAATAAAGACATGAGTCGTTATTGTTTTGTGCCTATTAGCTATTCACCTAACCTAGATTTCATCTTGTTGTGTGATTTTTCATCGTATCATGACTTTAGGCTTAAATTTGCCCGCTTGAATTGTATTTCAGGCGTATCAACGCTGTATTTGTCTCGTCTGGAAAAAGCGCATACCGACCACCATCAGGAAGTGGCTACTGAAGCTAGGCATTCAGGGCATCACCATGAAGCACATCATTTCGATGATCCTCACTCACTTATTGGAATCACACTTGTCAGTCTGAGTGCATGCCCGGTGTTTTAAAACTGCTTAGTTGATCAATTGATAAAGCCACATACGGATTGTTTTTATCGTCCTGAGTAAGGAGAACTCTATAGATAAACTTAAAGTATGCTAGTGTAGCTTCTTTCTAGAGTTAACTGTCATCTCGAAAATTTTTTTCCCATGAAATGTGTATGTTTGCCCATATTGTTTTCGCTTTATTTATTTAGCATTTTGTTCCTATTTAACATTTTTTTGTTGTCAATGTTCCATAGGTGATAGGTTTCGTGTTTATGCTATTAGTAGACCAGTGCAGTAAAAGAGGCAAGAGTTCCGAGGAGTTACTACCAACGGGACCGAATAAAACAGGCGCTATCAGCATTTGGAAAACACGCCCGGCAACGGCAACGCTTGGACTCGTAGTTCACGCAGCAGCTGACGGAATTGCCTTAGGTGCGCATCTGTGAGATATTTCTGTTTCATTCATTTTGCGTTTAGATTTAGCCTGAATACATTAAACAGTAAAAGGGTCAGCAACGGTGATTTGCAATGACACAGAAGTGCACTAGCAAAAGGTGTGTAAGGTTTGTTTTATTTAAAAATAACAATCAAGAAATAATAATAAACGATTCCACAGATTCTCTCGGCAAAATTAGTTTTCTACACACCTTTCTTTCATCAAGATATTCTTTGTCTATAAAGAGACGCTGAGTCTATATCGGTACTATTGGGAATTCCAAACAGTGATGCGTAATATTGTTTATTGATGTGGCATTTAACTAAGATAAATTTATAGACAATGTGTTAATTAATTTACTTTTTTATTCAGGAGCGGCTGCAACAACAACGCGTGCAGAAATTGAGATGATTGTTTTCCTTGCCATCATGTTGCACAAGGCGCCCGCTGCCTTCGCTCTCGTGTCATTTTTGCTTCATGAAGGCCTCGATCGTTCCACTATCAAGAAGCATCTCTTGCTATTCTCCGCAGCCGCACCGATACTTGCTATAACAACGTACTTTGGTATAAGTCAAAATACCAAGGTGAGATGGTGCTCTGCTTGAAACGAAGACACGGATTAAGGGGCCGTTGACAATTGTATTGTTAATCATGTATTGTAGTTTTTGGATTGATTACAGTATGTCGTTAACAATTTTTCTGTTAAACTTCTCAGGAGTCGATGGCTTCAATGAACGCTACCGGCATTGCTATGCTATTCAGTGCAGGGACATTCCTTTACGTGGCAACGGTGCATGTCCTCCCGGAACTGGCGGCTTCAAAAGGTAACGTGCTCGGCAATAAGCGACGCCGTTGTGTCTCACCAACAATTCAAAGACGGCCCTCATTTCTCGGAAAATACCTTGGGAGGTTCTACCGAAGTGAAAGCTATGATTGGAAGCTACTATCGGAAAATTCTGCTTTCCTTTCTGAAAGGCTACCCAATGTTCAAACAGTTATGGACCTACACGAAAGACTAGATCTTAGTGACGAGGGCAATGGTGAGAAGTCAATACCTAAACTGACTTATCGTGATGAGGCCGTACTATAGACAATTAGTTACGCAATTCGTTTGTAGATAGGCTGCGTTACAAGCTGAATAGGTCGACAGCCAACCTGATTCAAGAGTCAGTAAAATGTGCTTTTTTGTTTTACGAATTTGACCAGAATTTCAAGTCATTCTAATAATGCTAGCGAGTAACTTATAAAATAGTATGCTCTTCGAAGATATTCACTGGTACATTTGTCAGTTTTAACAAGATAGAGACCCATGAGAATTCAGTTATGAAACATCTGCCTACATATATTAGAATCGCATGTGAAGAGGTGTGAAGAGACCGGACATAATTATGATTGGAAACATTGGTATATTGTTGTGCACAAAAAAATTGTGAGCACATATTAAAATTGCGTCTATTCTGAAAAAATCTACCGAGAGCTCGACTCTGCTATTGACATTGTATTTTCGCTTTAGGTCCCTTTCGAGACATTTTTTTGTCGTAACACCATTGTTCACTTTTATTGGTTGATGAACACATTTTTTCCATAATGGGGCCCATTGTCTAAAAAAAAATGTAACGGCAGTACTGGCGGTAAAACGTACATGTATTTTAGAGAGCCAAAAAAATATTACTCCTATTACGCCGGTACGAAATGTCTTGCCAATACCGACAGTAAAGGCATATGCTAAATCTGAACGAGGACGTATAGTCTCTAAGTTGCTATAACATCAGAGCTAAAATTATTGTGTTTTCATTATTCATTACAGGAGGACACTCGCATCATCTGGCAGAATCATCAGACGCGTCGGGCTTTACACGGAAAGAGCTCGTTCTCTTAGTTCTTGGTGCAATGATGCCCAGTTTCCTCTCGTTCGGGCATCACCATTAAGTTCTGATTATATAATATTATATATATGAAAAGAAGAATTGTATGATTTGTCGCTGTTTACACAGTTAGCTCTTTACTGGAGTTTCAAGAGAAAACAGGTGATGTTGAATGAAGAACTCTAGGATTACGTGACCATGTACATAATAGTGTATCACTGCTTACTATAAACTGCAACGATGTGTGGTAGCGCATGAGCGAAAAAAATCCCTCACGTTCCTAACAGTACGTTTAGGGTTTTTTTTTTGTATTTACCAATGTGATTAAGAATGATGAGTGTCATGTAAATACTGAAATAAATGTGTTGCGTGTTGAACATTAATCAAGTTTAGTCTTATTTCACACCATATCCATGTAAAACGATGCCCATGCACTGCTAAGAAGTTATTGTCTGTTACAAACATTAAAAAAGGGAGCTTTAAATGTTTTAAGAAGAAAATTTTTCCCAAGGTTCACGAAGAGCTAACAAAATGAAAAAAGTTATATGGCGATAATTAAGTTTGTAACTATATATGCAGAAAAGAGCTTAGCAGGTCGTTTTACTCTTTTTAAAAGAGGTTATATCCGCATGTTGCCAAAAATAACCGTCACTGCGGCATATTTTAGAGGTGAAGAACTGCTTCCGCAGTTCTTCACCTCTAAAATATATATATTTATTAAAAGTAGGGTCTCTCAAAGAGTCCTTTCCTGTTCCTTCTTAACGGACCATATGTCATAGGTCCACCTTCAACTATCTTCTTATCATTTATTACATTCATATAAGAGTGTATTCAGCTGATGTACATACTATTATTTAAATATCATGTATATATACCCGTGTTAATAGAAATACACGCATTACTGCACTGCTGATAGGTCTTTTGAGTTTTGCCATGCAATAGAAATCAAGCTTTCAAGGAACGACGCGCATTACTCTCAAAAAAGAAAACGCACAATGCTCATCTATCAAATGATCTTCGATGACATCTTGACAACTAAGGTTCAAATTGATAACAGAAAGGGCCCGCATTGCTAACGGAGATTGTTGGTTCAAAGACTCAGGTCATGTGCAACAGGTATGCGAACTGACATATTCGTATTGGACTTTACTCATTACTAGGTGCCTCGGGGTTGTGAGGCACAACCATTTCAGTGGCAACTACGGCCATCTTTCTCATCAGTTTCGTTAAACCCTGTTCAAGCGAAGGTTAATTTTTTTGAGAAAAGAGCCCGTTCAGTTCAAAGTGACTGTGGCCAAAGGTTTTATGCCTCTGAGTGACGCTCTATTTTTTGCAACTGTTAAACGTTTTTAGTCGTGCCCGGACGATGTCTTACTAAACAACGAGTTACCTGCCCTCGATGTGCATAGTAGTAGTATGTAATGTGTTGTCTCGCAACGTGGCCGTCATGTTTTCGTTAGTTCCGGCAAAGACTTGACTCCGTTGGCCATGTGTATCTTTGTACTCATCTATAACATGGGTAGGCACGCGCATAGCGTTAACAAGCTTGGTTGTCGCAGCTAAGATGTCGTATTACTTTTCGCTATTTAGGCTGAACTGTTGAGTTAGCCGGTATGAGTATTAAGCTCCTTACATATTTTAGTTCTAAGCTTTATGTTCGATGTCATAAAAATGAATAAAGAGCCCAAAGAAGTACACTGAGCATATATCTAATCTGCAGCTCGCTTTGGATATGTTAAATACATGAATTACGGTAGGTGGGCCTACAGAATAAACACTAATTATGTATAAACTGTAATACCATTAAGTGAATATTACGGCTCCTAGGACAGTTATTGTGGTATGGTTGTATATTGTAAGGTAATACCTCTTTAGTAGGTCGGTTCGGATACCCGGGTTCCTGTACACGTTTTTCCCGAAAGTTATCGAACGAAAACAAAAATCTTAGTCCTTTTCGGTTTCCTGCATTGTGGTTGTCATAGCATGGCGATCATTATGATTTCCATTTGTACCATCTTTTTTATAAAACTTCTAGATTTTCGATATTTGACTGGGCATTTTCTTTCTTATTAAGCATTTGCCTATTTTATTTTTACAGTAAACCCTTGAACCGAACCGACGATTAAAAAAATCTGTTTAAAGCGTTTTTGTTTACGACTTCTATATAACTAATTAATACATAGAAACCATTATCCACAAAAGACCAATGACTAATCAAGAAGAAAATAATGTTAAGATTTTAGACTTTCAATATTACTTGATTATTATTATTATTATTATTACAGTGTTTGTGTCATTATGGATCATCAATGCTACCCTTGTACAACTATAAGTCTGCTGCGGGATTCATATATCGAAGCAATGACATGTAAAATACGAAAAAAATAATATTCTATCATATATATATATATATATATATATATATGAAAACTATTTCTTGCGCCCCCCCCTCTCTTTGAGTTGTAATTGTACAACGCCATTTGTCACGACGTTGTAGAATGCCAAGGAATTGTTATCCTTGACGAAGATACCATCGTACACAAGTTTCTGTTTTCCCGGCGGCATGCCTGTCAGCTCCTGGATGCGAGACTTGAGCGCACTGAACGTCTCTCTCAACGGCACGCTTATCGTGGCCATTTGCCCAGTTAACCGCCATTCCGTTTTGTCCGCCATGTTGGGTACAGCGATGCGTACCGCGACAACATCTGAAGGCTGACTTCTCAAAAATTCTTCCTCCGGGATGAGCTGATCTTCCGTCTTGGTCTTCTTCGAAGCGGGCTCGTCGCCTGGTGGCGCCTCCATCGGCTCTATTGCTGCGCCGGGCGGAGGCGGTGGTGGAATAGGAGCCGTTACAGGTGGTGGAACCGGAGGGAGAACCGGGACAAATGGTGGTGGTGCCTGCGGCGGTAGAACGGGCATCATTAGCGGTGCAGCTGGAGCCATCATTAGAGGTGGTGGTACCCCGCTCAACATTGGGGGTGGAGGTCGAGACATCATCATTTGAGGTGGCGCTGGAGCTAACACCTGCTGCGGAGGAGGTGGCGGTCGATGGGGTGGTCGCGGCGGTGCAGGTAGCCGGTGGTGGGATGGTCGAGGTTGATGCGACACTTGCGGTAGCGGACGTGGCGGTCCTGTCGGGGCCGGTGGAGCCGCTTGCCGGGGTGAAGAACCCGCCGTAGGCTTGGCGGGACCAATCTTTTCCTTGTCGTCATCGGCTACCAAACCCTTCATTTTGTGAATTTGTTGAATTTGCTGCTCGACAGTGATATTGGCGCGTGCCTGACGCGCCACAGCCTCGGCACTAGCAGAGTGACCGTCCCAGATGGGCTTTTCTGGTTGGCGTTCTTCTTCCTCTTCGCCAACTCGCATACCGATTCCGGTCTCTTCCTGTCCGAAAATATCGGTACGCCGCTCGGCGAAGTGTTTAAGCGAGTTTTCGATAGACGAGCCTTGTGCAAACACCTCCTCCTGAGCCATCTTCTCTTGCATCTGCTTGTCACGCTGTTCCACCCAACGTGGATCGAGCAGCCCAATCCGCATATGCTCCTCCATCTTGTCAGCGGGCACACGTTCGCCAGTGATAGGTGATATGAGGAATTTTGGTCCGATGGATACCGGCGTCGGTCGCTTCTGTTGTGGGTTAAAATTCTTGACGACAACTTTATCTGGTACGGGGGGCATCGGAGGTGGTGGCACGAACTCCGCAGCCTTCGAAGTTTCTGGTGCGGGTGGAAGTGGTGGCGCTGCAGTGGCAGAGGTGCTTGGAGCTGAAGCCGGCGCTGGCTGCTTCTTCGCTGCATCCTCATCCTCGTCTGAATCGACCTCCATCTCGACATCGATTTCTTCATTCTCTAGACGCTGTTGCAATAGCGCACGTGTACCAACCTCTTGAGGTGTGGTCGGCGGCGGGAAATTGCCCTGTTCGTTCGGCATGTAATCTACTGTCTCCACAATAGTAAAGTCATGCCAGTCAATCTGCGCGTACTGGACCCTTTCGCGTTCCTCGTCTTCCTCACGTTTCCTCCGCTCGGATTCCTGAAGTTTTACCCACTCAACGCGATAGCGAACATCAGAAAGTACTTTCTCAGGGTTTTTCGATCGTTGTTCGAGCTCCGCATCGAGACCACTGTCTGGAATCAGGATTTTGGTATACTGCTCCACCAACTTACGAAAATAGGGAAAAAGGGAATGCTGAGGCCGTAGAAAATCAAACTGGAAGTTTCGTTGCTCGCGATTCATAAGGTTCGTTTGGAAGTTCTTTCCATTTCGAGCGACAAACTGCGCGGTAAGCTTGACGATGTCCAATTCCATTGCAGATATAGACGGAGGATCAACGATAAATTCATGTTCTCTGGGAGGCTCTTTAGGCACAACCTTTGGCTCGGCTATCTTCGTAACTTCCGGTCTTTGTAGAACAATAGGTCTAGGAGGGGCAGGCTGCACTACAGGCGCCGGGGGAGGTGGTTCTTCCGGACCTTTACCTTCTTTAAGTTCTTTCACCTGCGAAAGAAAATAAGTTATTACATGTTATAACTAATTACCAGATTATTTAAATATATGATAATCAACATAAATTAAGAGACTCTACATAACGAAATTCCCATAAAGTTTTCTCTATAAAAATAATAGGAGGAATGTAGCTATCTACATTATGTATCCGTACCTATATAATCAGTTCATATTTTAGTTTAGATTGAACCCACAATAGGCTCTGCGGACCTAACGATTCACTTATTTAATATTTCTTTTGGACCGATTATTGAACGTAGTGTATATGTACGATATATGTATATATTCAAACTCTGGTATAAGAATTAGGTCATTGCCCATTCAGCATCTGAGATACCACAAAAAGTAGTAATAACTTGTTTGGGCTGTTTGAGCACTTGAATATTCTACGACTAAATTACAGCCTGTGAAATCTATCAATTGATATGAAAGGTCAGGCAAGATGCTTTTTGTTTAGGCTATTATTATTTACTCGAGATTAAATTAAAAATAATGTAAAATAGATCCAAAAAAAAATGTCTGTTCAATTGAGACAAAGATATAAAACAGTTTTTTTTTGTTTGCCTGTAATCTCAAAGTTCAATCAACATCTGTACGTAACGCTAATTTATTACTAATAGATGCGTAGCTTTTATAAAACACAAGAACGATGCACTATGGACATTTATTTGTCGTATTCAATATTTATATATAACCTTTAGCAATACAATAACTTCTAAACAGCTTTGCGTTTTGGCTGCAACGACTCCAGCTCACAAACAGTAAGCAGTACTCACTTTGTGTTCATAGTACGCGTGGTACGGATCGCCGGGATTGAGAAAGTTAAACTTTGCATTGTTAATTTCATTTTGACGAATTCGCGCTTCAAAGTCGGGTCCATTTCGTGCAACGAAACCGGCTGTCTTATCAACGATGTTACGCAGTTCCGGAGGCGGGTAAATGATACCGATTGTAGGCACTTTGTACGACTCGAGCTGGTCCTGGGGGTTGTTTTCTGATATAGGTGGCATCTTGACCAGCTGTGGGTTCCGTAGACGACTGTCACAGTGTAAAATTAATACACCTAATTAAATATTCTTCGATTTCAATGACAAAGTCCACTTCATCGCACAGTAGTGGTTTCAATCAAACCCTACCACTGCAACGCCGGGTTCTAACAATAATAAACAACATTCTCAGGACACACAAAACAACAAAGAAACATTTTAGAAAGCGAGTGCATGAATGGATGAATGCATTTCGTGGACCAAATCTTGCCCGCGAAGATATGAATTTTCTAAAAATTGAACACAATTAGTGAGGCAATGTGCGCACAATGGGGTTAACTGTTAATGGGGTTAACAATACAGTTGTAATGTTTTTATATAGTCCATTTTGTTTTTCTATTGCTTGCCAACCATATTGAAGGCTTTCCTTGAAAATGCACTGTATAAAACTGCCCATACAGCCTATATACTCACGTCTCACAAAATTCATAACAGCAGAACTTCAGAAAAATTAACTTTAAATGTAGTGCCTCAAGGAAATCTCCGTGGTGCGTTTAAAATATTCTCAGGCATTTTATGCTTCTAATTAGCGGTTTGTTTAATTATTGGTTTATAACAGCTGAATCGTAACGCCTTAGCTGATGCCGATTAAGCCTACTATGTAGGCTTAATCGGCATCATAGCCGTAGCAACAGCTTCGTAGGACCCACTTTTTGTCAAATAGAGCCAATTTTATTCAAGTTTATTCTTTATACGCCATAATAAAATCCTTTATTCTATCTGAGAGAGTTTTTAACGGCGGTGCCCAAGTAAAATTCGAGCCATTTATCAATTATATGAACGTCGACCTTGTTTCAATAGAAAGCGCTAATTTGCGATTGACGTCCATTCTTATATAAACCTATTAGGAAAACAGGGGTGTCGATATACTTCAGACTGGTGAAATAGACAATATAGCCAGATAGATCAGTTGTCACGAAAATGCTCAAGTCTGTAACATTAGTGCCATACTGCTGATACGGATTACGTGTAGTTACGTATTTGGGAGCTAATCTAGCTATCACCTAGTCCGTTCACAGTAATCGAGTAGACTGTCATCACTATTAGGGAGCACATCTCAATTATATCTTCATTAAATAAAGGCGAACATGGGCAGGCATCAAAGCTAGGGCAGTTAGGTGCGCTATCCTGCTCTGCCTGTATCTGAGGCAGGCGCGATTGCAAATAGCCTCAAAGAGAGAAATATCGTTGCGCTTGTTATTTGATAGAAATCTATTTTTACTATAATTATTAGCAAAAACTATAGGTAATTATTATTAATAGATAAGACTGTAATATGAGACGAGTATGCTCTTAAAAGCAAGTACTCACGGCTAATGCGCTCTAATTAATTTGATAGAAAACAATTATGGACAATAATCTTTAAAAAGTATCTGTTCTTATGATAAGCTTCGATCCCGTCACCGTTCACAAGCTATAGTTTCCTTCTTATACTTAGGTGTCGCCTATTATAGCCCTTGCCTTGCGCTCTAGTGTACTAATAACCTCCGGCAACAACGATAAAACGATAAAAACTGAATGGACTGCGTTTAACTTCTCTGTTTTTGAGCTTTGAAACAGAGACGTATCGCTTTAAGCAACGTTTTTATTTTGCAGGACCTATGCAAGGGAGGCGTCAAAACGGTCGTTATTCTTATCTCCCTTGTGGATTTGTTCTACCAGCTGTACTTAATATTTCTTAGTTAACATAGCTCATAAATGAGCATCCTTCATTAATAGGGTTGTTTTTCCTAATTCAGATCGTTTATTAAATTCGTATAGGGAAATCAGAACGAATTTACTGTGCATTAGTATTACTTTCGAACCGTATGCAATCAATTTCAGTACTCGTTTCGAGCCTCCAGTAGGACAATCGGCTTATAATCACATGCGGTCCGCACGTCGATTTGACCGAGGCGATGCGCTTGTGGTATGACATGACATTGGACGAGAGTAAATCCACGTTTTGCTAATGCTAGATGCATACAACGATTTCAGTGGCGTTCAAACTTGCCAAATTTTGACTGAATTGAATTGACCGACGGGTGTGGCCTTGCCAGTGCGCATCTGCTTTTCATGAGGACTGTAAGTCCAAACTGCCTGTTTTATTAAGTAACTTACCCAGTTTTAGTGCACGCAATCTATCCGATTGGTTACTGTTGTGTCAGGATTCCAGGATCGCTTAGGTAAGCAGCTTACGTTAATCAGGACCTATCTAGAAGGAGGAAATATTTCAAAAGATGATCAATTGGATCTTTGGAGAATCCCACCAAGCGAATCAATGTTTAACGTTTCATTTGCCTACCTTTAAAGTTCAGCAACTTAGGTGAATAGGCAAGATGTTATGACAATTGCTTGTAGCGTCGTTATAACACCAAACACAATAACATCATTGAGTTCTCTGTATTTGTATCGTCGACATTACAGCTATGCTGACAAGCTTGCCCTTGTCAGCCTGCCAATCGAATATTTCAAGCAGTGCTCAATTTCTCAGCTTAGTGTCAAATCAAGTACTTCATTCTGGAACTTTCTAAGTATCAATTTGCTAACATTAGGGCAAATGTCTTGAAATATTGCTTTAAGTTATGCTTACAATGTGAAAATTGCCATTGTTAATGTAGTTAGAATCCGTACACAAGCACAATATCATGATCGTCTCTTAAAGTTTAATTTCTTACAATAAACTAAAATGTGCATCATATCAAACTGATATTTCAGCGTTAGGACTACATGAGACTGGTCTTTAAACGACAAAACTATCAGTTTGTATTAGAGGATGAGTTTTTGAAATACAGATAGTATATCGATTGTGTCCAGTTATTATTGACGATGGATTCTAGCCTGATTTATAATCCTGTGCGAGCAAACAGCATCTGGTTTTGCTAATGAACATACATTGATATATAGTATAAATGTTTTTGTTCTATTTGCTTGCTTGCTTATCTTCACTCAAGCGTATAGTTCTCGTGCTCTCACAATAGCTATTACAGAAAAGGTTTAAATTGTTTCTATAAGAATTCTTATCCAGGAGTGATTCGCAAAAACTAGAGTGTTTTTTTTACTATGAGGTGTCAATTTATACATCCCAAGAAGTACAACGAAAAGTTTTAGTTTATGCATTTTATCATATGCGTATAGAATGCATATGATAAAATGCATACAAATTCTAAAAAATGTTCTTCTTTATAGCGGTGTGTGTCACTAGTACACCCTTGCACTGTGCCTTTCTACAATGACCCTCGACCATACTACCTGTGGCACAGATCATATCGAAATCTTAAAGTTGTTCAAGGAAGTTAACTATTCGAGACACGGGTTGTATGTTGATTCTCGCTTTAAACAGAACGGCAAAGGGAAATGTGCACTTAGTTTAAATGAATCTGATTCTATTTCTCATGGCTTCTTCCATGGAGCTTCGGGTGACTGATGATCTTCAATCAGATGTTGTATGAATTGATGTTGCAGCCTCTACCGAGGAAGTATCAAAAAAAAAATCTAAACCATGGTCGTTTGCTTTTATCTATCTAAGGTTTTAACAAATCTTTGGTGTTGCGTACTCTTTTACCACCATTTATAGAATATAATCGAGACTCCTTTTCTCAAAGTCTAATGAAATTAGATTTCGATCTTAATAGGTAGAGCAGTGCTCTATAGTGAATATGCCCACTTTGTGGATTTTCACAATTTTGAATTTGTATGGTCGGAAGCTCTATCATCTGGCATCATGAAAGTTTATGCGTTCAAGCGCCACCTAGCGTCGCTATCAACAATGCCTATACTAGGAGCCTGAACAATTCGATACCTTTAAAACCACGTTGTTCGACGATTACCTAGACATACTGGCTTGCTTGATTTAGGTAAGCTTATTAATCTATGTACTTATAGTTAGGGTAAGTTTTGTATTTTACGTCCAGTATCGCCGTTAGGCGTTCCATCTGACGGCTGGCTCCCAGCACGAAACGACGTCTGTTTATGCCCGGGTTCGAACCTAGACCACAACGTGTCGTTAAGATTAGCAGGCAAATACGAGGGTAAGCTTACCTATGGAACAGTATCATTTTAATTAAGCTTGGTGTTAAACTCGGCCATCTTGCAGTAAGATTAACAGATACAGACGATTCGATCTGCAAATTAAACCTTTTCGAAATTCAAATTCGCAGCTCTTATTAAAGTTCGCTAGCTGATGACATAGGCTTAACAATAATTACGCACGATAGATTTTTTCCAGTGATATGTATCATGTAGAAGCGCAGGAAAATTCGAACTACACCAGGGAACCATTGGTGAGAATTCGCCAAACAGAAAGTAATCAATATTAACACAAGTTTGGCAAGAAGCGACGCCACGTTATTAACTTTGAAATTTGCCGCTTGTTTTGTGTGGCGTCAGAAACCAATACCACTCGTAGTAAGTAAATGCGAACCTTCCATAACTTCGTCCTTTATTAGTTCGTCCTTAATTTATCACCGTCAACATGACAGATCACCTAAACGACGACACCAAGATGTTGCAGCAACAGCATCAGCAGCGGCCATTTAAGTCCGAAGTAGAGCATGGCACATGTGACAAAATCGATCCAATAAAGCAGACAATTTTAGAACCACAAGCATCGTCGGAAGACGGGATGAACCGAAAGGTTTTCGACCCTACCGCACCGAACGGATCGTGGTGAGTGCTAAATAAGCAATACCTTAAACGTATGTATTATCTTCTTTCCAAGCATATTGGATCAGTCTGTGTATCGCAGCAAGGATTTGACAAGTAACCCTTGTTTGGTACGAGCTTGAGTTTTATTTATGTTTCGAGTTTACACTGGCGTTTACATCAGATGGTTAGCTTTCAGCGCTAAACAAAACGTGTCTATGCCTACATTCGAACCTAATTTTGTCTACAATGAGGTATTATTTGTCTGTGATAAAGGGGGTCAATGTTGAACTAAAGCTTCCCTATATATCGTATAGAAATCAAGACGAATAATAAGCGTATCAAGTTAGATCGATTTTGTTAGCAGAGTTTTCTAATAGATGAGTGACTATCTGTCGTCAGAGCCATGAAGCCAATGCTCGAAATGTGCATATAAGAATATAGAGAATATATTTCATCTGTTATGCCCAATTTCAGTGCCCCACCTTTTACTTACGATGCGAACGGCTATCCTCTATACTTATGTCCTCCTAAGACGGATTTCGGGTTCAGCCAAATGTAAGTAAACAACTGCTAGTTTATATGGTCATCAAGTGGCTATGAAAAGCATGTGGATCAAAGCATTTGTGTTTATGTACCGAAGCTTTGACTATTACCTCCGAGGACGAAAACGGGAACTTACAATCTCAAACTCACTTTTTTCCCATGATCATTATGACGTTCGCTGTCTCTCGCCAGAATTGGTGGTTAGTTAATAGGCACCTAATAAGCATCTGTACTTTCTTATGACTTTGAAACCTCATAGGGGATACAATGGCGAGCAGATGGTAGTACCAAGCGTTCAACAATATTGGCAGGGGCAGATTCCCACATTCAATTCTGGAGACTATCCACAGCCACAGAATTATGGATATCACGCCACCACTCCCGACCACGTAAACCCGTATAGGTAAGTTCAAACGGCTATCGAACTCGCTACGCGATCTTGTTGCTCATAATCTAACATGTCTAAGGTACAGCAACAAGTTTTTTTCTTTTTTTTTTTTTTTTTTTTAATATACATTTGATACATTATCGCTTTTTTGCAACATATATAATTTCCACTTATTTTCGAATCGAATCGAATCGAATCAGGCTATTTGAAGATGTATGTAAAAGGTTCGTGTATACGTTCCGCAACCGCCAGTAGTTGCGTGCTATAGTGAGCTATACTGAGATCATTTGTCAGCCCTAAAGAGGCCTTCTTTAGATAAAAGTGGCTTTTTTCCAGACTTCTTATCTAAACAATGTACTCGCATTGAAATTTCATATACATCAAACGCTAGGGCATTCTATGCAGTGGTATACTATACTGCAGTGACCGTTCTAAGCCAACGACTGGTTTAGCTGGTAAGGCACGGCCTAATGGTTAGTTTATTTTCTTAATTACAAATGGCCTCTGTTATTGGTTGGCCTGTTTCGGAACGACTTGAGCCTAAATATGAGCAAAATTATATCTGAACAATTCATCACGCCATGAAATAATTAACAAGTTAATTATTATTAATTTATTTTTGTCAAGATAATACTAATGAACAGCTTTCTTTACTGACGCTGTTTTTCAAGTATTGCAAAACTTTCACAAACGCAGATTAAACGACATTGCTCTGATAAAGAACACGAGCTATATGTGCATTCATTGCTTATTTAAAACCCAATTACAGTATCGTTGGCGGCGGGCAAGACGCAGCGCGAGATGAAAGCATCAACAAGGTAAGCAGGAAATTTAACTACTTGTCCAATCGACTTATAAACCACTCTTATTAAATAGCAACTATACAAGAAGTTCTCAAGCTGTGATTCGTAGTCGTAGAAAGCAAGCCTTGAGAGCGGCACGATGACGATGGGTCCGTCGGTCGAGAAATCTGTCCGACGAAATGTACAAGCTTGTTCATAGCGTAGATGATTATTAAGAATAGGTCCAATGTAATATTAGTATCTATATTGTTACAAAGATATCCGGATATTGATCAATCTCGAATATACCGGAAACTTTAGTATATCCAAAACTTCTCTCGAAAATCGAACACAATACAATGAATCCTACGCACCGAAGTTAGAGTAGGAATACACCATATTAAAATCCAACGGTGCGTTTTTATCACAGACAGAAGGTGGGACGAACATTGCTCCGAATCAGCCATTCGTTTACGGACAGAACTCTAATTGGCCGCACGCTGGGTAAGCGCTAAGATAGTTGATGAGCTTTCATATTAGTTTGTAGAACAACAGTTACTGAGTGATGAAGCTATTGAAAAGAAGTTATCAGCGCTAACACCTTCAGTGTGTCACTGCAATTGACCGATCGTGTAGGAATCGAAACTAAGAATAATCGCTAGTAATAACTACTATTAATAATAATAAGAACTTAGAATAGGTGGTTAGCTTCGCAAACGATTTTTAGCTACGGTCTTTTTAGCTTCGAAGATTACGGAATTTGTAAGTCATATCATAGCATAACAGGTGCAAAAGTCTTCCCGGAATGCTATAATAATTTCACAAGTTAGCTTAAACCTTATTGGTTTGTTTTACGCCGGTAAATGCCTTCGAATGGAATATAGGCATCGACAGATGCCGTTCGCAGCGTCTGTGCTTGAAGTTCCTCCTCTGAAATCCTACACGAGTTACGATGGTAGTTTTTACCCAATGAACCATTACAACGGTTACTACTCAATGAACGGACAAAATCCGTATAACACAAGGAATGGGCATAAGACTTACTACCCGAAACCTCACCTGCGTACTGGCCACCCAAGGTACTACCAATATAATAATGGTAACCCGAGAAATCAGCAACAACAACAACAACACAGCGGTCAGCTGAGGAACAACCAACAGAATAATGATAGGCCAGGACACCAGCAACAACCTAATAATGAACAATCTAAAAGCCAACAAAAAAGCACCGATCGTCCAGGAAACCAACAACTACTTAACGGCCAGTCAAGAAATCAAGCGAATTCTAGTCACGGATGGAATCGATCGAATGGCAGCCACCCGAGAAATCCCCCGACCCAAACTCTGAGCCATCAGCGAAGCCTTCCTAATAACTATTCCAACCCAAGAAGCCAGCAGCAACAAAGTAATAATCACCAAAGAAGACACCACCACGATGCATTCTACCAATCTAGCCAATATGACAGTTACGTCACCTCAAGGTATCCTCACCCTGAACCATTCTATAGAGGATACCAGCCTCATGACGGTAACTTCTCTCCGCTGAGCTTCGATCTAAGAAATGCTCCGAGATGCACTCCAAACCAATGGTATCAAACGAATCACTACATCACGCCCACTCAAAGAAGTTTCGGGGGAACACCGAGAACAAATACGTACCGACGTAGTAGCTGGCAGCATCAGCAGGAAAATGGCCCCGGGAAACCAAACCAAGGACCGCCTCGACGACCCGGCCGCCGGCTCCCTCGATCAGAGGTTAAAAACAAGCAAACCGCAACGATCAGTACGGACAAGCCTGTACGCAGCCCGAGTCAGGAGGAAAATCAAGTCGCAAGCGGTAAGCTTTATACATAGAGTTCTACCTTATAACATAAATTGCAGATGTCGTCTGGTATATCTAGCGTTTGATTATGCGATGAGCTTCAATACCTTAGTTAACCGCTTGTTGTTGAGATAATGACTTGCTGTACGCGTTCAAGGTTAGTTGGTATGGTGCTGCCGAAAACCCAATTTACGTCGATCAGGGCTAAGTTTAACTATATTCGAATAAAATTTGTAGCGCGTCTATTTTTTTTTAAGATTAACGACGCGTCTATTATTTCTTCTTGTCATGGAAATTGGGTATAGAAATGCATTGCCTCGCCTTAGCAGCCGGCTGAGTTAAGCAGTGCTGCTTGACGCTAGTACCGGACGTAAAAAACCCAAAAACGAGGATAGACTACTTGTAGGCATGTATAGCAGTGTCGAAGTAAAGTATCTGTTTGAAACTAATATATGACAAAAATTAATGATTTTTTTTTTTTAGAAACAAAGCAGGCTCACTTGTAGAAATGACAAATGTCTTATCTTATTATTATAAATTCTTAATATCGTATCACTTAATGTTGAAATCCTTTATTTATTTAGCGAAAAAAATAACAGAGGAATAGCAAGCACAAGATAAAATAGTTCATTCAAACTTTGTAAAAACAAACGACAGAACCCTTGCTTGCTATTTACGTACGAGGATAGAATATTCACGCAAAGGCTCCTATAAGCAAGAAGTTAAGTATGTCCTAAAAGCAATGATGAATGATTTCGTTTGGTGGTAATTCAGCTGATAGAATCGATGCGTTTCTGCTACTCTCTACGTAAATATGCATACGGACGGCCGAAATTATGGACGCCGATACCGCAATTAGCACCACAGTGGAAGCTTTCGAATCGAATAAGCCTTCGGTTACAATATTTCTGATAATGATAATATTGATAATAATAGCCAGTCTTATTGTCATCATAGCTATAATTGTCATGATACCAAGTCTTAACCTAAAAAAGTTCATCCTACAAGCAGTGTTATCTCATAAATATGTCCTTAGAATTTAGTACGTTGTAAAAATTTTTTTCATTCAGGCTCTACAGGATTGCCAACAGATTAGTGGCCAGGAGATCGGCTCATAATTTACGACTTGTTTTTACCTAACGGCAGCAAGGATTCGTTGAATAATTTTGCAGAAAGATCAAATCAACACCCCGAAAAGGTGTATACTACCCTATTCGGTTGGAAGGAATATGATCTTTCTACCATTCAGACATAGCAGAGTACGATTAAACACTAGCCTCATGTTAACATCAAATTTAAGGAACAAATCGCTTGAGGACTACTTAAAGCCCGTTTCTCAGTCAACCTTAGGAACTCGTTATAACATTTTTTGACTTCCATAGTATGTGGCAAAATGAAAAAAAAATCGTTTATCGAGGTCGAATTCTAGAATTTTTAAGAAATTCAACCTTCAAGAGAGACAAGCCTTTTCTCATAAGAAATCAATCTCATATCAGATCGGTAATAAAAATTTTAAATTTACCAACTAATGATTGTGAGACGTAAACATCGCTAACCTGGACAGAAAATAAATCGGTCCGGGTTAAATAACATTGACAGTACTAGTCCTTAAAACAGTTATTTCGAAAAAATCTATCAAAGCAGATAGAGGACGGCCAATATGGCCCGTTTGCAGAATCTACGCGCAGTACTAGCGTATAAGCGGATAATGCTGGTTTTCATTCTTTTTCACGAGCTTCTGCTCTTCCGTCGTGGGAAAACATCAATGGCAGTGTTGCTAGACTATAGCTCCATTCATGCACTCTAAACTTACTGACTCGTCTTGCATACCCGGTTCCTTCGGTAGTGAAAATGGCTATTGAATTATTCGGTGGTGGCAGGCTTAGTGGCAACACATAACTCGTCTTTGCTTTTTTACTATTTGTAGCGTCACCGATAACAATTGGGTGGTAAAGTCTTTCGGTTTATGTGACGTGGATTTTTACCTGCTCATGTTCGAACGTACAATGGTGTTAACGCTTTCTAGGCCGAAATTAGGGCTTTTAGGATCCACCTGAGTATCCAGTGATAGGCGCGTTGGATTGGAATTAAATTGGTATATAGCACTTTTGTATAAAGCGTCCTTAGCTATGAGCCGCCAATGCTCCTTGTAGCGCAATCCTTGCATTCAAGGTTCTTGTATCACGCTATGTATACGAAGAGAAACTAAAAAAACGCACGATTCCCGCCATTGCAAGTGCGTTTCTATGTTTAGCATAAGGTACATATATGTATGTTTAGCTGACAAGGTACCAATGTTCATCTGTCTATTACAAATATGATTGGATCGGTAAAATTAGCTTAGGTTTCCAAGTGAGTTCGGAGCGTTTGGCTGATTTTTTTAGATCTAGCACGGTACTTCGTTGTACTATTCTACTTTCAGCAGATATATGCCTAGATGGGGAAACTACGATACGATATGGTACTATACGATATGCTGCTCAGTTTATGGCGACGGACACGGCACTTCTAATAGGACTGTAGGGGCCGCATTCAACAAACTTATTATGCCATAACACGCTTGTCAATGCTTCGTAGCTACCGAGACAACTATCTGAGTTCGCTTCCTGATCAACTACGCGTCAGGCACAGTTTGTGTTTCAGACTGTGCCAAGCTAGGCAGTCACCTAACGGCATTGATTTAGAACAGCTTTAATTATAATCTTGCGTTGCATATGAGTGTTTTAAGTGGATGAATTTTTGCTCTGTCATGAAATGAGCTCGCATTGTTTGTCCGCGAACTCTTCGCCGCCGACCTGCTGTTACTATGATCGAAATGGTGACTGACATCTTAGCATTCTAGAAGTAACACTGGGTTTACCCAAGCGTATTTTATGGATTAGGGCATGTTAATAGAAAATTCTAAAACCCAAGTCGTACCTTATCTGGTTATGTTGTCTAGCCATAATGGCACATAGAAGAAAAAAGTAGGTCTTATTTTGCACCCAGATGCTAGATTGACAAAGGCTTTTGTGTGTACTGTGTGCTAATGATCGTACGGAAATTGTTATTAAGCTTCTACATTTCGCTACTGCTAAATGTCAGGCATATTATAACGAACAGTGTAAATGTAAGGACATGGTTCACGTTCTAAGGAATGTTCTGCCTGGCCTCGAAGCAAATGAATAGAGAGTGTCAATCTAAAATCGCTTACCGAGTCCGATTCTCTGCCCCTCCTCTTTTGAAGTAGATTTTGCCGACCAACGTATGACCTATTTGAGCTGTGGCTAATTTGTTTGAGGTCGAGCTCCCGTTGGTCCGGCAATGTCATTACGTACGTACGTGCCTGACGTACGTGATGCCTCAAAGAATTCCAGGATTGCCTTCGCAGCTTTATATGGGGGCAGTACAAGACACGACTTGGATGTCATTCATTCAGGACTTCGTTGAAGTGATCTTTATTAGCTTTGTTTTCATCAGAGTAAATTTCGCTTCAGGTCATCGATGCGATATCATACGACCTCATACGGTATAGCTGCCTTGAACATATTTACTTTATAAATGGTTGATTGTTAAGTTCTCACAGGGGTGAACATTTTCTCACGTCGATAACTTGTTCTTGAAGTAACAAAACTAATACAGACGATATTGTGGTTACCCGGCTGAAACAGCTGATTGGTTATTCGATGTGGATAGGTTGAATGACGTTTTTCGAAAACGCCACTACTCAGCTACGTTAACAAATCGATTATTTCTACACTCTGGCCTGTCGGACACTCTATATTATCCACTTAAGACGATGTTGGCCTGCTAATATTTAGCATGCGTTCGAGATAGACACTCAGTAAAGCTAAACAGCTTTAATATTCCTAAAATACACAAAATCACTTCCTGATCTAGTCGGCCTCACCTATATAAAGTTAGCTTCGTAATCTAGACACGGCCTCACGTATATAAAGTTAGCTTCGTAATCTAGACAATCTTCTGCAAGTGATTTAACTACACTGAATAAACGCTTGATAAGGTCCTCTCCGTATTGGAATAAGCCATTCGTGTTTCAATCAATCTGTCCTGGCACACCTGTGATCCTACCGAGCGTTGTCCAAGATAAAATGTAACGAACTTTATCTTCCAGAGGTGGAACTCGCGCGCAGTTTTACTTAAAGAAACAAATGTGGCAGATTTAGCTAATAGCTTTCATATCGAATACGGTCTTGCAATGACCACCTTTAAAAGGGTTAACTCTATTTGATTTTTCAGTGTAGAAATTTGTAGCCGGTTCTGATGCGCAAGATGAGTCGTGCATCTCGAAACTTCTCAGATAGGCAATATTTATTTTTATTTGCAAAGCTCAGGCCTGTTAGAAACACAGTAGTTCTGATAAAGGCTTCGCCCTTAATTCCGTGTGACTCAGTATTAATTATGGTGCGACACATCTGAATATTAGCTTCCTAACTAAAGTTTACTTTGTGTCCATTCTTAAACGGAGCGTTTCTTTCCTACCGTTGCAGATTCAACGCGCGATACAGAGTCGCCTCCTATCGAATTTTTACAGAAATCGCTTTGCCTGGATGACGACGATGATGATGATGATTCACCAGATGATGCAAAATCGACTGTGGAAAAAGTGAACCCTAAAAAATAGCCATATCTATAAACTTGTTACCTGGGTCGTCGATCATGCCACATGGGTCGCGTGCGGATCGTCAGCGTTGCATTGCCAAAAACACAGAAATACCTAAGCCTTTCAAGTGTCGCATTAGTTTGGACTAAGACCAGATAAGCATAAGAAAAACTCGTTTCTCTTCTCCTAATCTAACGGTAATTAGTACAAATATTATTGAAATAATGTACAGTCGCCCCTACAAAATGGTATTGATTTCCATTTGGAGTATATACTTGTCTCAGATCGCCAATTTCTATCATTCACTACATTATTACCACTTTATTCCTTGTTTTTGATTTCGTTTTTTAACCCGATCTTTATACTCTTTTCATTAAAATTCTCACTATAATCATTTCCGGTATTGAGAGTCGTTCTGACGCACATATAGGCATATACGTTCAATCGTATATGTAAATATATAATGGCAGGAAGATACGTTATCAGGTTTATCTGTACTAATTCATAACTGATTTTTCATGTGGTTCTCTCTATGGTCTATCCTTTTTATAATTGCGACAGGAACTGGGTAATCATGTGTAACATTAGGAAGATTTTATTATAAATCATTATCAATTTAAAGTATTTTCAGAGAAATTCCATTTTAAATAAAAATCGGAACCGAGTGAATTCGTTTTATTAGTCGTGATTATTACCTAAACCTGAATAAACAACGAACATTTCGGTGCAGTCGATGAGTTCCGAAGGGATACTGAAGTATTCTTTTAAGCCCTGTAAGATTTACGGCGAGTCAAACCTGCATATTTCGGCGCAGCTTGAAAAATCAATCAACGGACTTCGTTCAAATGTGCATGGCTGAAAATGGCATCGATATGAACCACAGGACATTACAGGCCTTAACGCGATATGATTCGCACTCGTTGCAGAAGAATCTATCTTTTTACCTAAAAAATCTAGCTTTTCAAAAATATCACTATAACTAGATGCGCCAGCATGCAGCGTTTTAACGCGTCCTACCGTAGTTGATATTTATTCAGTTTACACATGTCTCTATCGGGCGTCATACGCAGGCTATATCGTCTCCCCTTTTACCTTCACCGCAAATTGTGTCCAATGATTTAATAACGGCCTGTCCGTAGGATTACGTTCCCTTGACATAGATTCAATGTTTGTTGTAGCCGGTCTGCATGTCGATATTTGACAGCGAAAAAAAATCAATTCAAACGCTACCGAAAAAGTGAGAAAGCACCGCGAAAATCTACGGAAAAAAATTTCTAGAAGGATAATTGTAAGCCCCACATGGCAACGAATTAACATAACAAGCAGCTCTGAGGTTCGTCGCGCATACTTCAGGTCGTGACCTATTTGGCTACTTAATCTAAAATAAAAATACAGACAAAGAAAAATGCAATTGCACGTTTGTCACGTACCGATATGCAGCGTCCCATTGTGTGGACTCTATGGGAATCTTCGTAATATCCGAATTCGAGCTAGTTCCACAATAGACAGCTTAATGATGATTTTCTGATAGATATGATCTAATGACGGCAAACCAAAGAAGGTTTTGTCAATTTTTTTTTCGTTGGACTTGCTTCAGCCGACCACAACACCCACTCATTTCCGCTTACCAATAGAGATGCATCATTCTACACCAGTACATAATTCACGTTGCCCGTCACGCCGAATGCTATCTTAGTTCAGGGGGGAATATTGGATTATGTGCCCGTATTTGTCGATTACGATAGTCGAATCGAGACGCGCGTACGAGGCAGAGTGGCCAATAAATCTCTTCGTATGCAGCAGCAGCGGCAGTAGCAGTCCAACGACGACATAGACAATCAAAAGAGCAGACAGAGAACCTCGTAGTAAGCAGAGCTGTTGCGTCCGTTGCAGACCCATTTTGGTCTGTTGGGTCCAACAAACTACGAGATGCGTTACATTATTGCCGCCGCCCCCGACGCTATTACTGCTGCTACTGCTTCTTGCTTAGGCGAGAAATATATTGCCAGTATAACTGCTGCTATATCACATCATCACTATCCAATAGGTGCACGAATGTACATATATACTCGTATATATAGGCGCTTAATAGAAGCATCCTGTGCCTGCGGCTGAAAGAGCGTTTGCCGCCGCCCTGTGTATCTGACGCTATCCTAGTTACTGCAGATACTTCCATACAGACTCGTACAATTCCACAGCAGCTACCGGAGTCGCAGAGTCGCCTGGTGGTACGGTTTTTGATCGCCGGAGGTGCGCACCGCTGCGTTGTACGTTGTTGTGCGTATATAGCGACCGGGACTCTGATGGCCACCTTTGTCTATTTTTCCATTCGTATCTTGATGTTCACAAGCACGATATCGCAGGCGCACCACGGCAGCGTCACATCGGCTTGCAGGTGCTAACCTACTTGAACCTGTTATCGTACATTAATAGCTGCGAGAGCTGCGGTCAGAAAACGTCGCGGAGCCGCAGACCGAGGCCAGATGGGGTCGGATCGCGATGCGTGCGGTATCTGCACCGTATGTTTATCGATGAGCGTCCAATTCTGCATTGTGGGCTGCTGAGGGAGCCAATATCGGCGGCAATCGGCTGGGCTCGGGGCTGGCTGACTCGTTCGTTCGCTTGTTGCTTAGCTGATGTCTAATGCTGTCGCTACTGAACTCGCTTGTACGAGCCGCAGTGTCACTGTTAAGGACGAAACTGGCAATGTTAAATGGACGTCTATTCAACGTCCACCAGCAATGACCACTACGCCAACGACCGCTATTTGGTCAGATGGTATCCGTTGATTGATAATGCCGGACAGCTCAGCGAGCCATGAACAGTCTGTTAGGCAACACGCAGCAAAGATAGCTAGAAAATCAAATGCATTTTGAGTAAATACGTAAAAAACTAGTTGAAGAAAAACAAGTAAGAGCTAAATTGACCGTTCTGTTGGGTAATCTCTTACACGCGCACGGTGAACTGAGACCGAATGATAAGCTATAAATTATAGGCGGTGGATAAATTATTATGAAGGGAAGATCACTACATTAACTGGTGAACCTACCAATACAAAAACCAATGATTAATCTAAATTATATATTGGAAGTCGCGTTGCGTTCCATTATTTGTGCTTGGAGCGTTACTGATCCGAATGTGTAAGTCCGGCAAAATCCCAGTGTACAATAAATATCGCACGTCGTGCGATCATACTCCGGCTGATTAGTGTATTTATAACCGAAAAACTAATTTCATAATAATTTGTGGCGATGACTCGGAGAATGAAACAACCGTAGCTTGAGTTGCGTTTACCGCCTTCCGTTTGTCTAGTCTTTAAGTGTCTGATAGTAGAGACAACGGTAGAGCCTTTAACTACAGTCGCCATAATTAGGGTCTCTGCATCGGGCGTTTCAGGACAAACTCTGCCTTAAGCATCTATTTTGCATACAAATAAAAGAGGTACCCAGAGATATCGAGGACTGATAACCCGACAGCCTTATTGGCTTCTAATTATATACAATTTCCGTCGAGAAACTAGCGTCCGTATAGCTAGAGCACGTACTTCCAAAAATGCTAGTGGTTCGTACATGGGTATTGTTTTTCAAGTTCGGCTATAAATTACCAAAAAGTCGATATCATCCACCGACATTTCATTGTATTGTAGCAACATCTTTTTTGCCATCAGTGTTCAAATTTGGTACCATGTTTGAAGTCTGTTACTTCAGCTACTTAAATCATACTCTGTACCAATACATATGGTGGCCCTATTCAAACCCGTAGCACACTCTAAAAATTCATTGAACGGGCCGGTCCAGGATCACGTGTGAGATGATTCATACTGACAATAAAGTTCAGCATATTTATAAAGTCATAATATTATGCAGCTAAGCTGTATAATACACTAGTAAGACAACATGTGATGTAGTCGAAAAGTCGCACATTTAAACCGTCATAGGCTTACTTAGATTTCCAAACACCCCGTAGCTTTCTAATGCGCTGTTTCAGTAAGTATCGCTCTATACTTTACATCGGGGCCGTTTCGACGACTTCTACTACTCCACACATGAACTCTAAAAGATAAAAGCGCCCATTTGTCAGAAACTTGAGCACGCTTTACTTAGTGTAGCCGACGAAGCGCCAATTTTCTCCGGAAAATTGGAAGAGTCCTGGTGAGCCAGGCAAAGAATGTTGAGCCACGAGGAGTTGGAGAGGAAGAGAACTCACGAGCATCCAACCAGATAGAGATATTGGCCAGATAGGGAACTATGGAAAGGGGAAGAAACGAAAGATTCGAACGAAGCGGTCTTTTCGTATTGTCCATTTAAGACACAGGCGGATGCCATCCTCTTGCTACTGCTTTTACAAATACTAGTTTTACCAACCACTGGCAACAGCGGCTGATGTTGCCGACGCTGGGGTGCTATGGCAGTCAGCGGTGCCGCGAACTCAGTCGACTTGCCAGTGCCCAGAGAAACAATCCAGATCCCACAGCGTCAACTACAGTGACGGATTACGAGGGAAAACAGCGCAAAACCTAGTTATGAGGCCCAATACCCATAGCAGCTTAGGCCGCTGCTCGTACTGCGCTACGAAGCTCTTTTTTCCCCCATAACTGGCTGCAGCAGCGTTAACGGAGCATCCCCTCGGCGGGGTACCAGTATTGACCTAACGAAACTCAACTTAGTTGCTTTTTCGTGTTTCGATGTTGACTTGTAGAGTTGTTATATCCGGAGAGTCGTTCCTTCGCTAAATCGGCACAAGTGTAGCAGCAAGCATCTTTTGGCCGGTGAACAGCTAGATGAGATTGGCCTCACCGCATCTGGCCGAACAGCGCACCGTAACAGGCCAACGGACTGAACGGCAACGTAAGCCGATCCGACACCCGGAAGGCACGCTGCTAAACATGTCCCAGAGCGCAGTCCACTGTGGGTGGGACTTCTACAATTACGCCAATGTACTCGTCGGTTCAATACGACACCGTGCGGGCAATGAACTGTTTAAACACTTTGCAATAACCCGTTTCTGGGCAGAAAATGAATAGTTGGGCAATCATCCCGGTACCGTAATTGTTAACGCAATACAGGAAAAGTCTATTGATGATGATGATTCTGTTGTCAGTCAGAATGGCAAAGTTCAGTGCTGATTACTATTGTTCTACCGTCTGAAGTACATGTGATGCGTACATAGTTGAAAGACGCCATTTTATCCCTGCTGTTATTACCATAGTGAGTGGGATCTGAGTGTTCCACGAGCATCACCAACACGAATCACATTTGAAACGAAGCGCACCTACGCCTAAATTCAAATCTAGATCATTACATGCATTCAACATTAGCAGGGAAACACGTTACCCGCTAGGCTATCGCGGGGACAATTATGAAAATCTATTACACCGATATGCACGGGACTTTCTACAATGTTGTATTCTCCTATGCCTCCATAAATTAAGTAGTTGATAGGTAGGAGTAAAAGTATTTAGAGTTAGCCGAACGGTTTCTCTTGTGACATCAGTTTTTACATCGCCTGTGGCGGCTTTTCTGCTCCACTATACCTTGTAGATATTCGAGAACTTTCCAAAGCGTTTAATGTAAATCCAAATAGATTTAATTGCTATGGTGACGTGATTCGTTAGCGTATAGCCGTCATCAAAGAATTGCACGATTTTCAGGTAGTGTCAACAACTTTTTTAGATTG